TTGGAGCCTCCCTCGACGACTAAGTCGACGGAGCCTCGCAATCATAGCCCTCTGCACAAAGAGCAGCAGGTGCTGGCAGAAGCCATTCAAGGTGCTTTGTCCCGCTTGAAGGGGCCTGAAGGCATCATGGTTTCTGTTGGCAAGCGGCAACGGCAGATGCAGCTGTTGCAGGCTGCTGCCTTGGACGTTTTAGATGCAGATATGCCATCGGGCGATATGCGAGCGTTGTGGCAGGTAGTTGATGCTGCGACGCAGCTGTTAGATCAATGTCTCCTTTGATCGACACGCTTCTGAGGAAAAGAAAATTTGTTTGGGGTCGATGTATGTTTGCTATGATGATGTATTCTTCTTATACATCAATCAAGTTGATCGATGGATGTATATATATATGTGTGTGATGGAATATACATGATCATGCAACATGCACAAATATTTTATATATAGATATCTTTGTTGGATATATATATATATATTCTTCTATGTGGCTTCTGGTTGTTAACCTGATATATGATCCACGCAGCCGTTTTTCTCGCAACTGCTGCGGGGCGCGCGCGCTCTCGCCGGGATGTCTCCTGGGCGAGTCGAGGTGGGGAATCATGTGTTGGACCCTTGTGTGCGTGTTATATTCGAATGTATATATAGTATATAGCATTTTGAAATATAATGTGTTACATGGGTTCAACACGGGGTATAATATATATATATATATATATAGAGGGTTTGGAAGAAGCACGCCCACGGGCTGCAACAGGCATGCCTACGGGCATGCGGAACGCATGCAATGTGCGGCATGCCTACGGGCTGCCAGGTGCACGCCTACGGGCTGCAACATGTATTGCGAGGCGCGCGGGACGCATGCCTACGGGCTGCGACAGGCACGCCTAAGGGCTGCGAACCGCCAACGCATATAGCACGCCTACGGGCTGCGACAGGCATGCCTACGGGCTGCCATGCCAACGCATTTATAGCATGCCTACGGGCTGCGACATGCATGCCCATGGGTTGCAAAATGTATAGACGGGCTGCTGATTGCACGCTTGCGTGCTGCAATGTGCATGCCTACGGGCTGCAATGTGCATGCCTATATGGCAAGGGCTGGAAACGCACGCCAGCTGGCTGCGCTAGTTCATGTTATTATATTCCTATATTTGAATATTATAGAATAAACACACATATAGATTATATACAATATAAATATATTTATATATATATAATCATTTTATAAATATATAACCTATATTTTCCCCATGTCTATTTATACTTGTGTAAATATTAAATATATATATATATATGTATATATATATATATATAGACCATCTTATATATAGCCTTTCGACAGCCGTTTGTGCGCAGGCGTCAACAATGTCTACGTCTTCGGAGGAGGAAGTGAAGTTCGGGAAGCCAGAACCACCTGAAACAGAAGAAGCTTCCCCAGCGGTGGACACAACGGAAGAGGTCGGAAAGACTGGTGCGGCTGAGGGCAAAGAGCCGCAACAGGCTGTGGAGCAGGGACGGCAGAAAGAGGATGCCGAGGAGCCGCAACAGGCTTTGAAGCGCGAACGACAGGATGAGGACTCCAAGGATGCGCAGCCGAGTGAGGCTGGCAAGGCTCCGCGGGACTCTGGGAAAGAGTCGGGCTCTAAGGAGAAGAAGAACCGCGGAGGCAGTCGCTGCAACGCTCACCGTGCAGATCTCATCGAATGCCGAATCTGCCGCAGGGAGATTGTAGATTGCCCTAGCGGCTGGGCGCAGCACTTGTCGTCACAGTACTGTCTTAGCCGCCGTTACTACAAGGAAGGCTGGGGCAATTGGGCATGGTGTGTTTGGATGGCAGAACAGAATGCACTGCATGAATGGGCCCGTTGGCAAGAATGGCAACGGGGCCAGCAAAGGCCGCCAGAACCCAAAGGTCCGCCCATGGCACCTCCAACCGTTCCAGCCAGCAACATTGTGATGCGGTCAAGATCGCGCCGGAAAAGCCGGCATGTGGCAGAAAAGTCTCGTGACCATGAGCAAAGCCGTGAGGCGACGAGCTCAACACGCCGTCGCCGCTCCAGGCACGAAAGCGCTGATCGCCACAGCCGTGAACGTGAGGGGAGATCGCAGCGCCGCAGGCGGGTGCGATCGGATGAGCGCCGCTCCAGGCGAAGTGCTTCGAGGGAGGAGTCTGAGAGGAGTCGCCGCCGCAGGCGACGAGAAGATGTCCCCCCCCAGTTCCAGAAGTCAAGGTCGCAGGAGCAAGAGGAGGAACGGACAAAAGAACACTTTCGACGTCTGGAAGAGCAGAAAAAGAAGGAACAACGTCTGGAGGAGCAGCAAGAGAAGGAGCGACGTCTGGCTGAGCAGCAAAAGAAGGAACGACTGGAGGAACTCAAGAAGGAACGACGCCGCGAAGAGAAAAAGACCAAGGATGGGCCCACACAGAGCCGTCCGAAAGCTGGTGCCGCCACAGGCGCAGCTAGTGACAGCAAATCTTCGCCAGATGGCGACGAAGACGAGGAGGAATCCAGTTCCTCTGCTGCGCCTGCAGCAGAGGAGACAGCCGAGGCGAAGAAGTCCCCAGCAGCCCCGAAAGCGGCTGCGGCGGACAAAAAGAAAAAGGCACCGACCCCCGCTGAGATGCCGCCACAGGCTCCGGCGCAGGCCCAGCTGGACCGCATAGAGCTGGCGCAGGCGCTGCTGGCTACGGCCTTCCGCGAGATGCTCCGCTGATGGGCGTGGAAAAAGGACTTGCTCGGTGTAGGATGGGGACGGAATGAAAAATTAAGGTTTGGGGTATTTTCTAAGGTTAAAACACCAAACGCGTATGTATATGGCGATTAGACCAACAAACGCATATGTATTTCATAGGAAAATGTTGCAAACGCCTATGTATTTGTTTTCTGCATCAACACGCGCGTATGTATTTGGGAAACAAAACGCAACAAACGCGTAGGTATGGGATTTGTATTTGTTTGTATTTGTTTGTGTTTGGTCAACGGACTATGTTCATGCAAACGCGTATGTGTTTGGTGAAATGGGAACAAACGCGTTCATATTCCATTGTGTTTGCTGTTAGAAAGGTCACAAACGCGAATGTATTTGGAGTCCGCACAACAAACGTGATTGTATTTGTTGCTAGAAATTAGGACAATGAGAACCGATGCACGTTTTTCCATCTCTGATTGCCATATATAGCTCTTATTTTTGCCGCGAAGCTGTGCAAGTTGCTGCTACATCAGCATGGCATCGCCACCAGATGCGACGCTGGCAGCGGAGTTGGCTGGGGAGATGGATGCGCACGTCGCTGCCGACGAGGCTGCGTGCACGGAAGCTGCTGCTGAAGCGGCGCCGCCAACGAAGGCGGCCTGCGGCAAGTGCAAGGTGGAGCATGAGACAGCCGACATGATTAGCAGGGCTGGTTACCGTCCGGACCTGCGATACGTCTGTAAGGCTTGCAATGCCACCACCACGACGCTGACCCGCAAAGGCATCCAGGTGCAGCACCTGCTCGACGAAAGCAGCATGGTGGCTTTCTTCAGCGAAGCGGCGCTGGAGCGCCGCAATGCCCAAGAGAACCGTATCACCTTTGGGCAGACCAGGGCCCTCCTCAAAAGAACAATGGTGAAGCAAGTCATGCAAGTCAAGAAGGACATGCAAGAATCAGAGTGGTAGCCTTTGTCCTACTTTGAACTGAAAGGGTACGACGTTGCTGCCATCGAAAGAGATTGTCCTTGTGAGATGCATCCTGTGCTTGGTGCAACCTATAAGTTGGCCATTCACACAGAGTCTGAGGGCACTGTGGTGAAGGAGGTCGAGGAGCGCATCGCAGAGATGGAGAACGAAACCATGCAACGCCGCGCCGCGGTCACTGCTGCGGCAGCAGGCGTGCCGCAGATGGACTTGGAGTGCGTTGTTGAGAAGCAAGACACTCGCAAACGCAAAGGCGGTCCTATGACAACAGAAGAGAAAGAAGAAAAGAAACAACAAAGGCTTGCTGAAAAGCAGCTGATAGCGAGCACGAAGATCGCGACAGCAGCTGCTGCCAAGCATTTTGCTGGGTTGAAGGCAGTGCGTCAGAAGTTAGGTGACAAGCAAGAACGCTTGGGCACGTCCTTCCAAGAACTGCCAGCGGACCTGCAAGACCAGGTGGCCAAGGCCATCAAAGACTTGGAAGAAACGATTGCATTCTGCGGCAAACTTCTCGACGCAGCTGCAAAGGGAACGAATGTGGGTGCGCCTCTGTTGTTTCAGAAAGAAAAAGAACTCCAGGTGAAGATTAAGTCGGGAAACACTGCTCTCCGGTCCGTGCAAGACTACTTGCGTGGCGACAAAGAGAATGTGAAGGGCAAAGGCCGCGGTCGAGGAGTGAAGAAGTGAGCAGCTGCGCGGCTTGCATAGCCATGTGGCCATGGTACAAAAGATTTAGATCGGTCCCCAAGTTCACACATGTAAATGTGTGCTAAATTAGCTGCCTGAAGCTGTGGACGCGAGAGCTCGCCTCGGGGTAAAAAAGAAATGCTTACAGACAATCCGGGTCGAATCTCTAAAAAATATGACGCACATGATATATACATAAATATATGAATAAATAAATAAACAAATAATATATATATATATTATATTTCCATTTTTGGAATCTACATATATATATATATATATAAATATATATATATAGAAGTCTATATATATATATATTATATTAAATATATATAATTTTTGCTATCTGTAGCCATTTTGCTGTAGCGTAGAGTGCCCCCCTATAAATGATACTGCCACCGGTGGGAATAGTCACCGTGCATGATGCTGCAAAAGATGCGTACGCGCAGCTCAAGAGCTCAGCAGCGGAAGATGCCGAGCTAGCACACGGCCCAATTGAGCTGCTGAGGGAAATTTTGAATGCCGTTCATGTCTTGCCGGAATATCCTGACATGAAGAAGACGCTTGAGGTACTGAAGCTAACGCTTCTGCTGCTGAAAGGCTTTCTCCTGCAATGGAATTGCACCGAATTCCCAGATAAGATGCAGGAGTTGCCTTTGAAGATGCTGCCCAAGGTGTCGCCAAACCGGTGCTGGCGCATAGAGCATCCGCAAGTGGCGACATTGGCTCTTGAGGTCAAGTCCAGCTTGCGTTTTCTTGCGGGACACGCACTCAGTTTCGCTTGCGAGCCATGGATCTGGCTGCAGGAATGTTTGGATGCGATGGACATAGCGTTAATGCTGTGAGGGGGAAGGGACGGATATTGTGTGGATGCGGCGAACCGCAAAAATGGGGCTAAGGTATTGGTTTAAGTATATCAACAGATGGATGTATCAGATGCATATATGTATATACTTTTGTCCAGACATATATATATATATATTTATGTATATATATATTTATTTATTTATATATATATATCATATATGAAAAGTCTGCATACATAGACGTCTATATACCTCTTGGCCCTCTAAGAAAATACGTCGTGCACAATTGCATATATATAAACCATTCTGTATACATCCTTCCTTATATCCCTCTATGCATCACCTCTCTTCGTGAGCATAGTTTTTTGGCTCCAGGCAACAAGCGAAAAGGGCGGCATGGCAGGGGTCGCGGTTGCAGAGAATCCGAAAAAGAAAGCTCGGCTGACTGGAGCCATGGCTCGTTACAGTGAAAAGAGTATTCACGACATAAGCCGGCTGCTTGAAGGGAAAGAGCACAAGTCTCAGCCTAGCGGTGCTGCCAAGCGTCGCATGCGCGAGGCAATCGCTCCTGTATGTGCATGTTACGAACAAGTAACGGCACCCAACAAAGATCCATCGCAGCCAGATGTTCAATGGGCGTTTGCCAATGTCAGAGCGCTGTTGCGCTGCATGGCCCCGTCGTGCCCCTCCTTCGTGACTTTCTTGCAGTCGCAGGCACAACCGCTGCGCTGCATCCTCAGTCATGACGAGTGCACGGCAGGCAATGTGCTGGCCACAGAACAAAGACAAAAGGTAACGCTATGTTACTTGTCTTTGGAATGCATGGCCAAGTGGGGTGACTCGCCCACTGCATGGCTACCCATATCGGCTATCAGCCACGCCCAGGTCGCGAACACGCGCGGGGGCATGGGGAACGTGCACCGAAGGCTGATTGAGGCCTGGGCGCAACAAAGCCTGGAAGAACCATTCGAGCTGGTGCCCGGCGTCTCCATTAGCCTGGTGCTGAGCTGCATGGTGGCAGACCATGATGCGCAGCGTGGGTCGCTGTGCGCCAAAGGCTCAGCGGGACTGAAGCCGTGCGCTTTTTGCATCAACTGCATTGCAAAAAGCGCACAGGGCACAGCTGAAAAGGATGCGCAGTTTCGCACGATTGCGGAAAGTGACATGTCTCTGTTTCAGCAGCATTCGACGGAAGCGCTGCGGCAATTTATTTGCAAAGCCTTGCAGCACCCAAAAAGCAAAGCTGAACATGAGCTGCAGGAGCGAGTGCTGGGCTACAGAATTGAAAGAAACAACATGTGGATGTCGCCCACTCGCCTGCAATGCTTGCCATTGGAACGGTACGTGAACGATAGCATGCACTGCTACTTCAGCAATGGCATTTGCTCTGTGGAAATAGCTTTGCTGCTTGATGCGGTACAGACCGTGACCAAGAAAACAATTGCGGACATCAAGCGTGCGGTGTTGGACGCGGGATGGCTGCGGCACCGCAGCCATAGCCGCCATGGAGAAAACCAATACTGGACTAAGCGTCTATTCACTGAGGCGTATTTTGGATCTTCAATGTATAAAGGATCTGCCAAACAGACTTTGGCGCTTCTAAGCCTACTACGGTGGGTCTGTGAGAGCGTGTGGCTTCGTGTCCCAGAGCTGGAAACGGCCGCTGCCTGTTTCTTGAAACTGTGCGCTTGCGTGGAATGCATCCGCACAATTGGCCACACCAAATGTTTTGACAAACTCCACGCATTGCAGACAGAGCATCAAAAGGCATTTGTAAAGCAATGGGGTGATTACGTTAGACCGAAACATCACCATCGCTTACATCTGCCGTTTCAATACAGGGCGCTCAACCTGTGCCCCACAATGTGGGGCACGGAAAGTAAGCACAGAGACTACAAGGGCCTATTTGCGGCCAACTTTCAACAATGGCTTACCTTGCCGATGTTAAATGTAGACCGATAGACCGTCTGTGGTTTTAGGCCACCTGCACCTTCGGAAAACGTGTGTTCTCCGATCCTGAAGTTATCTAACTTTGGATCCCACGGCCAGAGCAGCAGCCATTCCAATGTATCTGCCAACCCATGATTGCAAAACACATTTGGCTCAAGAACACGTTGGCTCAAAATGGCTCAAGACTTTGACTTCCCAGCTTTCCAAAAAAAAGGGGGAGGAAGGGATGTAATGTAGTTGGCTCAAGACCAGTGTGGGCAAAGTTACCCAGACTGGGGCTGGGAAAAAAAAATGGGTAAGATGGGATTGGTAACTAGATGGCTCAAAACCAATTTCGGCAAAATTTCCAAATTGGTGCGGTAGGGCAAGGAAAAAGTAGGAAGGGAATTGGGAAGGGATGGTTGGGACTGGGCTGGATGCGACCAGGGGTAACATGATAACATAATGTAATGTAACCTTGGGGTAATGCAACCAAAAATAGAATTTTCAACATGGCATGGCATGAAACCATCAAACCATAAACCATGTCAAACACAACATTTTTCAAACCTTTGGCATGGAACAGGGGAGGTGGTCTGACCCCTCTCAGTGACTGGATCGTTTTATTTTCGATTTATTTTTGTTGCCACAAGTGGCAGCGCTGTGGAACCAAGCTGTAGAATTCTCTGCGGCATGGCCAGCAGGGGAGGTGACCCCTCTCGCTGACTAGAATGTTTTCAATTTTCAACAAATCAAACAGTCAAACCATGTAAAACACATGATTTTTGTGTATTATTTTGTTGCCACCAGTGGCAGCGCTGTGGAACCAAACTGTAGAATTTGTTTGGCATGGCCAGCAGGGAGGTGGTCTGACCCCTTTCACTGACTGGATTGTTTTATTTTTCAACAGGCTAAACCATCAAACCATGTTTATTTTTGATTTTTTGAAGAGGAGGTGGTTCGACCTCACTACCTGGAATGCTGGAGTTTTTTTGACAGGTTCCGGCATGCTGAGCGATCAAAGCAATGAAACCAGGGAGAGCTGCCAATTTCACCATTTTTTTGTTTGGCAGCCAGCCTGGAAGGAAGACAAATTCAAACAAACCAATCTCACCCTCTGTCAGTCAGAAGTGTAACTGGGGAGGGGGGCAGGGCGATCCAAAAAATCATGAACTGGGTCTGTTTTCATTCCGAGGTGATTTGATGATTTTTCATATGCAGCATTTCCTCCAACTGTTTTGGTTGGGTTGTGTGTGTGTGTGCTATATTATTTTTTGGGCGCCGATTCTATCTTAGATGGTATTGTTTAAGATGAAGGTGGTCTGACCCCTTTAACCACTGCTTCACCGAAAGGAAATACCTCTTCTGAATGGATCTTTTGATGGATCTACCCTAGACGGGGACGCCCTCAATGTTTTACTGGTACCAACCACGTCATTGGGCAAGGTAACCACAGAGAATGTCTGTAAACACCATTGATTTTTGATCAAGAGTCGTATGCCCCAGGCTAACCTGATGAAGTGTTTCTTAACCTCCATTTTTCTTGATGCCTCTGTTCCCACCGCCGCCACAATGTTTAGATCACTAATTACCCTTCCCCGGTTTCACCCCGCAGGACATGTGCACCTGTGGGCATCAGCAGAATATGACAGTTGGCGTATCTTGCTGGTGCCCACAGGTGTCCATATTCTACAGTTGGCGCTCCAGTTTCTGATGAAACTCAGCTTACAATCAGACTGTTGACGACTGTTGCGTTGAATGATGGTGGGCTTGCAAATCCCACGTGGTTGACACAGGGGAATCGATAATAATGCATGTTGATGGTTTCCAAAATCCTTTTTTGGTGTCATGATGTATGAATTCAGACCGGATCTAGCACCTGCACAACTCAGGACCTGTGGATTTCAAATTCCAGCAGTGTGCAACTGCTGACCAATTCGTCCGCAGTTGCACACTGCTGGAATTTGGATATCAAATTGGCATTAATGCAAGCATGGGTGCAGCTGCTGTGCAATGTTCAACATCTTCACTCGCGCTGGCTTTTGTTAGCCGCCGTTATGACTTCGTCATTCATGAGCCAGAGCCCTAACTGATGTGGGCCGGGATTCGGTGGGCAGATGTGGGCCACAGAGGGCGATGTGACTGTATCCATGTCAAATACGATTGGTCATGGATTAAATCTGGAGAGGTTGAACAGATAGATAGATATATATATATTTATTATATGTTCAAGATCTTTATTCATCTGATCTCAGCCGGGACCTTGAATATGTTCAAGATATGCCGTTTGCACGTGTAGCCTGAGGGGTTTTACATGGGGATGTTTGAAACTAATTAATTCATTGTCGCTGGAACACATCAGGCACCCCAGTTATGAATAAATAGAAGACTGCTACCCGCACCGCCTGCCCCGCCGGCCAGGTCCGCTCCGTTTGTTTAAGTGGGAAGTAGCAACTGGCCAAATAACCCCAATCCAATAATAACAACCCATTTCACACCCCACCTTGTTCAATACGGTTCCATCGCCAATAGGCGGTGGTGTGTTTTTTTTCTGATTTTGGTTGTCACGGAAACTACATGCTTCCTCTCTAGGCCCCGCACTGAATATGATCAAACACGCACAGCACACCCCCACATATTGTCGTCCCTTCCCTTTGACAGATGGCAAACCGAGATTCCCTGAGTTGGCCGCAGCGAATCTTTGTTGGCCATCTTTTGGCGAAGAATATGGTTGTTAGTTGAAAACATGCTGGAGTACGTCCAGCTGGTTTAGGCGATTCCCCGCCCCACCCCTGGCATTGTTTTGGGGCCGCTTCTCGTCATATCATCACGCACACTGTCAATTTCATCCAAACACAGGTGATGACGAATCATTCGCTCATATGTGATTAGAAGGCATGGCTGAATCCTTTTTGTAGGAACATTTTGGGGCTATTATTCAGCCATTCCTGGATCACTCATATCTATGAGCTCTTGAAGTTGGCGGAGTTGATTGCATGAAGCGATTGTTGTGACCCGCAGAATAGATCGGAAGACAGCTGTCCCGATCAAAGCGGAAAAGAGAGATGACAACAACAAGAAGATAGCCTTAGGAAAATCTTAGGCCTGCAAACATTGGAAATTCCAAAATAATTATTTTGTCATTTTTTTGCATTTTTGTTGCATTTTTTTTGCATTTGGGTTTGTCATTTTGGATTTGTGTTGTCATTTTTTTTGTCATTTTTTTGTCATTTCTTTGTCATTTCTTTGTCATTTCTGTGTCATTTTTTTGTCATTTGTTTGTCATTTTATTGTCATTTTATTGTCATTTTGGGAACGGGAAAATGGAGAAAAAACATTGTTTAAAAATGACTACCATGACAGACCTTTTGTTATCTCGTGGCAGCACCAAATACAAGGAACAAGTGGAGAAACTCTTGGAAAGCCAGCCGGCGGTGAAGAAGGATAGGGCAGGGGAGCTTGCCCTGGCGAATTCGTTTTTGGGCCTGCCTGGACGAGGAGTTGTCTCCCGGCTCGGGGTGCAGGGCCGGCTCAAAAACCGGGTGGGGGGGCGGGGCCGGGGTGAAATGGCCCGGGGGGGCGGCTCAGGCCCGAGAAGCGGGGCCGACCTGGAAACTCCAAAAACGCAACTTTACCAGCACGCGAGTCATTTTTTTCGCATTTTTTTTGCATTTTTTTTGCATTTTTTTTGCATTTTTTTCGCATTTTTTTTTCGTTTTTTTTGCATTTGTTTTGCATTTTTTTTGCATTTCCCAGACTAGGAGTCATTTTTTTTGCATTTTTTTTGCATTTCCCAGACTGGGAGTCATTTTTTTGGCATTTTTTTTGCATTTCCCAAACCGGGAGTCATTTTTTGCAATTTTTTGCATTTCCTAGACCGGGTTTGCCACCTTCACCGCTTGCCTGATCCTTATGAGAAAACGACAAGAAAATGAACAATGCTAGAAAGTAGAAAACGACAAGAAAACGACAAAAAAATGACAAGAAAATGACAAAAAAATGACTTAACAAATGACAAAAAAATGACTTAACAAATGACAAAAAGATGACAAAAAAATGACACCACAAAACAGGAATGACAAAAAAATGCAAAACCAAATGACAAAAAAATGACAAAAATAAATAACCAACAACCCTCAGAGTTTGCTGGTAAGATTTTCATAAAGATAGCCGATAGCCCACCTGATGGGCGTTGCAGTCGGCGTGAACAACTCAAAGGGCCCTTTCGGCCGCACCGGCCACAACGGAGTTGCCCTGTGAGAGACCCATGGGCCCCGGCCGGGCTGGAATACTACGCCTGGTTTGCTTACTACGCCTGGTTTGCTTGCTGCGCATACACACATAAGCACATGTCACATGACTGACCCTTCAACGAAGCCCCCGGGGATGATTAATTAGTGCGAGATTTACCACACAAATTCAACCAACGTAGATACTAGCGCTGTTACAATAGATATAGCTTAGCCTGGTTCCAGCAAATGACATGCATAGACTAGACTTAGATCCCCCACTCTGGCGGGGGCACAGGTCTCCGAGTTGGCTGCCGCTGCTCCGTCCAACACTGGCATGTGTTTTCTAGAACACATCCCAGGTGCTGATCTGAACAATGACGAGCTGAGAGCCTGCATGAGATGGAACCTAATAGGCGGTGGTCTGACCCCGTCTGAGTTTGAATTCCGGCGCAGGTGAACTGGCTGGAATTGTCAGCCACATCACCTACTCTGGAATCCAAACTCAGCCACATCACCTACTCTGAAATTGAAACACCAAAAAGTTCAGTGGAGTTCCCGCGAACATGCAAACTTAACATTTTACATGTTCCATTTTGGGCGACGTTAAGTGTAGACCAATTTTGGCCCTTACATACTCCCCTTACACATTGCCAGCCCGGGCCGGGGCCGCGTAAGCAGCGTTAACGTGAACGCATCCGTGTAAGGACAGTATGAAGTTCGTACTCCCCTTACGCATTGCCAGCCCGGGCCGGGTCCGCGTAAGAGGAGTAGGTTTTCGCGTAAGGACAGTATGAACGCTAGCGCCGCTAGCGTACATACTCCCCTTACGCATTTACATACTCCCCTTACGCATTCTGAGCCCGGGCCGGCTCCGCGTAAGGGGAGTATGAAGTTCGTACTCCCCTTACGCATTTACGCTGGTACAAACGCTACTTTCCAGAGACACTAGACCTTGGAGTAGTCAGAGAATACAATCCAACGCTCTTGCTTCCGGAGTCTGGCTCACAGGCACATACGTTGATTAGTCAGTGTCAGTTACTACTGTAACAGCAGCCAATCTCACTGATAGAAAAGACATAAGCAAGTCAGCATAAGTATCATTAGCAATTCATTGTGACATTTTCGGAAATGAACTCAGACTCGCCGCCTTAGACCATGTTGTCCAAGTTGGCAACTAGAAAAAAAAACATGTCTGATGGTCTGACCTCGGGCAGCAAGCAGTCTGATGGTCTGACCTCGGGCAGAAAGTCTGATGGCCTGACCTTGGGCAGCAAACCAAAAAAATCAGCAGAAATGAAAAAACATTTCGATCGCATTCTCAATTTGGCCGAAGAATCGACCTGGAAGAGGTAAACTTCGTGTGGGGAGCGACTGTGCAGGAATGGGATCCGATTTAGCGGCTCTTACTTTGTTTGGGTTTCGCGAGCAAATCGAAACTTCAATGTGGTCCGATAGTGATCCCGACAAGAGGAAACTATATCGCCATGTTTGCTCCCTGTTAGATCTCGACGTTTCTCCCGTGTGCAAAGATATGTCAAAGAGGAATGCCGCAACAGCCCCATCATGTGATGTCTATGTGGCTGCACTTTCTTGAGCTGAATAGCCAGACCACAAGTCTCCCAATTGTGCTTGACCAACGTCAGATAGTATTTGACGAGTCTCTCTGGCCGCCAAGAGGTGATTAAAGATTTCTGAATATGGAACCAGGAATCCTTGGGATTTTTCTTCGCTTTTATGATTGGCCGAGGCACAAGAAATTGTAGCCTTTTAGTTGTTTTTCCGGGAGGCGCGGGCATGGTTCCGTATTGCTGGGCTTGAAGCTGAAAAAACTGCTTGAATGCCCCGACCCAAAACCAATGGTAAAATTTAGGTACAAACTGGTGTTTCAGAAACCAAATGCACTAACATAGTTCCTTGTTGTTTAGTTAAGGGGGTCTTACAACCTTCAATAGAACCCCTCCCTCCAAAACAAAAGATAATATAGCACGCATACCATCGCACAATCCAGCCAAACCCGTTGGAAGAAATGTTGCATAGGGAAACACGTCAAAACACATCTGTTTTTTTTTTGAGTCCGTAAGTGGCAGGCATCTCGGCATTCCAGTGTTTGGTGGTGTGGGTGGTGGCCCTTCTTCTGTCTACTTGTAATGCACATAGAACATGATGCACGGCGGTCTGACCCCATGTGTCAACCATGATGAAGGTTCCCCTAATAATTTCCCTTTTACTACCAGTCTGCCACAGGGGGACATGATTGATGTCCAAGGAACTAAGTCTCCGCAGATTGCACGCGGCTCCGCAATGAATGGCTCCGCTCGTCAACGTCCCCTCCAACACTGGCACAAGAGTGACGAGATCTCTCATGCCAGTGTTGGAGGGAACGTTTCGTTCAACCATAGCCAGTGTTGACTCCAAGGCGCTCCTACTGTCGATTTCGAATGCAGGAGTCGGGTCAGACCACAACCCTGGCCAGCAAGTGTTCCCTGCAGCGTGTTGGAGGGAACGGCACGTCCAACCATAGGGTGACCCATCCTATGGTTGAACGTGCCGTTCCCTCCACACTGGCAGCAAGTAGTTCCCTGCAGCAGTGGCAGGCGTCTCGGTCGACTGAGACGCCTGCCACTGCTGGAGGGAACAGCATCCGTTCAAATTCCATCATGGGTGAAGTTGCTATGGACAAGACCTTGCAAAGCGAATCGCTCGACGAGATTTTGCGGAGCAGCTGCACCCATGCTGAGATTTCAATGAAACGGCGGCAGCCACTGCAGGCGGAACCGTTGTCTCAACAGTTCCACCTGCAGTGGCAGCCACAGGTCCTGAGTTGTGCAGGTGAGGGGATTTTGGAGACCATCAACATGCATTATTATCGATTCCCCCGTGTTAACCAAGAGGGATTTGAAGGCCCACCATCCTTCACCTCCAGAGTTTTGATTGCAAGCTGAGTTTCATCATCAGAAACCGGAGCGCCAACTGTAGAATGTAGACACCAGCAGGCACAAGAAACTTCTTGTGCCTGCTGGTGCCCACAGGTCCCAGGTGTCCTGCAGGGCGAAACCGGGGAAGGGTAATGATCTAAACATTGTGGCGGCAGTGGGAACAAGGGCATCAAAACGAATTGATGAAATCCATCAAAATAGTGTGGTTAAGAAGCGCTTCATCAAGTTATCCTGGGGCATACGACTCTTGATCAAAAATCAATGGTGTTTACATATGTTCTCTGTGGTTCCCTTGCCCGATGATGAGGTTGGCACAAGTAAAACATTGAGGGCGTCCCCATCTAGGGTAGATCCATTAAAAGATACACCGGGTTCAAAAACTAGACACTATTCAACAGTGATGCTGGCCAGGAAAATGTTTCAAAAACAATGGAACAATTGGCTAAATACTAGCACTTCAGAAACAATATCCAGTGAAATTTCGGTGAAGCAGTGGTTAAAGAGTTCAGACCACCTTCATCTTGGGTAATATCATCCAAGATAAATCGTACAAAGATAGATCTAGCTCCAACAAAGGGATGAATATATACTCAACACCCAGTTGGTGATTTTTTGGATCGCCCTGCCCCCCTCCCCAGTTACATTTCTGACTGACAGAAGGTAATGGGATTAAACACTGCAATTTCTTCACAGAGGGGTCGGAAGGTCAGACCACCTTCCATTGGTTTGTTTGAATTTGTCTTCCTTCCAGGCTGGCTGCCAAACAAAAAAATGGTGAAATTGGCAGCTCTCCCTGGTTTCATTGCTTTGATCGCTTAGCATGTCGGCACCTGTCAAAAAAACTCCAGCATTCCAGGTAGTGAGGTCAAACCACCTCCTCTTCAAAAAATCAAAAATAAACATTGTTTGATGGTTTAGCCTGTTGAAAAAATAAAACAATCCAGTCAGTGAAAGGGGTCAGACCACCTCCCTGCTGGCCATGCCAAAATTCTACAGTTTGGTTCCACAGCGCTGCCACTGGTGGCAACAAAATAATAAACAATCCAAAATAAAATGATCCAGTCAGTGAACAGGGTGAGACACTTCCCCTGCTGCCCAATCCATGCCAAAAAATTGAAACATCATGTGTTTTACATGGTTTGATTGTTTGATTTGTTGAAAAAAATTAGTCAGCGAGAGGGGTCGCCTCCCCTGCTGGCCATGCTGCAGAGAATTCTACAGCTTGGTTCCACAGCGCTGCCACTTGTGGCAACAAAAAAACAATCGAAAAGAACTGAGAGGGGTCAGACCACCTCCCCTGTTCCATGCCAAAAATGTTTGAAATGTTGTGTTTGACATGGTTTATGGTTTGATGGTTTCATGCCATGCCATGTTGAAAATTATAAGGTTGCATTACCCCAAGGTTACATTACATTATGTTATCATGTTACCCCTGGTCATATCCAGCCCAGTCCCAACCATCCCTTCCCAATTCCCTTCCTACTTTTTCCTTGCCCTACCGCACCAATTTGGAAATTTTGCCGAAATTGGTTTTGAGCCATCTAGTTACCAATCCCATCTTACCCATTTTTTTTCCCAGCCCCAGTGTGGGTAACTTTGCCCACACTGGTCTTGAGCCAACTACATTACATCCCTTCCTCCCCTTTTTTTTGACAGCTGGGAAGTCAAAGTCTTGAGCCATTTTGAGCCAACGTGTTCTTGAGCCAAATGTGTTTTGCAATCATGGGTTGGCAGATACATCGGAATGGCTGCTGCTCTGGCCGTGGGATCCAAAGTTAGATAACTTCAGGATCGGAGAACACACGTTTTCCGAAGGTGCAGGTGGCCTAAAACCAAAAACGGTCTATCGGTCTACATGTAACATCGGCAAGTTACTGAAGAACTGGGTGGCAGCGCTTTCTCCACGCGGCTGTTGCCGCGCCTTGCCTTGCGTCACATGGAAATGTGGAATGAAAGGCCACTGGCCGCTTCAGGCTACAGCTTGGAGAAAGCTTTCCCTGAAAGCGAAGTTCTCAAGGAAACGGATCTCACCGGAGTGGTGATCGCCCCCAAATGCCGCATAGGCTTGTTGGACTTGCAAGAAGGAGATATCATTCTGTGGGGTGCTTGCGAAAACGCAGGGACATGCCATTGCTTTATAGAAAGCAACTCTGAGCTGTATGTGCTCCTCAGCCAATACGCATACGTCAGCGGCACGGAATCACTCAGGACGTTCCGGATCACCAATAACAAGGTGATATATAAATGGAACAGTCTTGAAAATCCAAAAACGTGCAGCTGGTGGCGAAGAGAAACGGCCAATTTAATTGTGCACTGCTTGCCGTGAACACAGCCTATGGGCTAGCACAAACAAATTAAATTTGCAATTTGCAACACAAATTCGTGCTAACCATATGTATAGCTGCAGCTATGGCTGCAGTTTCTCTTGGGACCAAAACGGACCAAACGTCTGAACCCAAAGGGTCACCTCGTTTCACGTTTTCGATGAAAAGATGAAAAAAGTTTGAGAATCGAAGGTTGAAAGCTCACTTTTTTAACGAAATGCCAAAAGTAAGATACTTTTCTGTCCCAAATCCATCCAAGCTTCAAAACCCAAAGAAAAAAGTTACACAAGTTATAAATAAGTTACAAAATAGATATAAAGTTACTTACGTAACTTCAACATAACTTGTTTAACTTATTTATAAGCTCTCTAACTTCAACTTAACTTGGGGGCACCACCTTGTATGTAGCGGGTCACCGAAGGCAAGGGCAAGAGCTGGCATGCGTCGTCGAAAGATGGCCAATCGGAGCACTACGCAGAAGCTGCGGGACGAGGCCGTGAACTTGTGCCACGTCATGATCGCCTGCACCCTGATGGTTGGAAGTTGGGCAAAGGAGCTCACATGGAAGACCCACTTTGGGAAGCATGGGCGGTGTTGCAGCCCCGACACCACACGCGCCGTTGTGAGGCTGGCGCAGATTGTTTGGAGATCTTTGCGGGCGAGGCCAGGATTTCTGGCGCTTATGCCCGTCATCGACGAGCAGTGCTACAACCAAGGGACGTGCGCTACAACCATGACTTGCGCCGCCAACAAGATCAAGATGAAGTGGTGGAGGAAGTGATTTCACAGCGACCAAAGCTGGTATGGATGGCACCACCATGTACGTACTGGTGCAAATTCTCCCATTTGAACTACAACCGTCAGGAGCTGAAACGGCTCCGCAAGCGAGAAGCCGCACTGGTCAGGTTCACTGGTCGGATTTTTGAACTACAACACAGTCTTGGGGGCATTGCAGTCATTGAGAACCCCAGGAGCAGTGACCTGTGGCGGCATCCTGAGCTCCAACGTTTCTTGGGGCAAGTGGCATGTTTTGCCGATGTGGATCTATGCCAGTTTGGACTGAAGAGCCTTCAAGATGGGCGGCCTCTTCGGAAACCACTTGCTTTGCTGACCAACGACCAGGCCTTCGCCGACGGCATCACTCAAAAGTGTGTGGGAGGTGAACATGAACACCGGCCAATCCAGGGCCGTGACACAGCCTGGACAGCAGTTTACCCAACTGCTTTTGCCAACGCGGTTTTGCGTGAGGCAGAACGAGCATGGAACAACCCCAAAGAGCTCCATGTGCAGTTCCCCACGGACTTGGTGCAAGCTGAGGATGCCAATGATGAGCAGGAGGTTGCGGCTGGCAGCCATGACTGGGAGCAAGATGCCATTGGAGCCGCAGGGATCTCCTTCAAGGGCAAGGTCAATCCCCAGGTGGGTTCGGTTTTGAAACGGATCCACCAGAATCTTGGACACCCGCCGAATCGTGACCTGGTCCGACATTTGCGGCTGGGTGGAGCACCCGAGAAGCTCATCAGAGCAGCAGAGCAGTTGGTTTGTCGCACATGCGAAAGAAGCACGAGGCCTCAATCTTCAAGGGTGGCTCACCCGTGTGTGGCGCTGGACTTCAATGAAGCCATTGCAGCGGATGTCATTTGGTTGGACACTGCCACCAGCCGGAATCATCCGGCACTCAACATTGTCGACATTGCCTCTACTTACCAAGTGGTGGTGCCAGTGAGTAGCACAAAATCTGAGGAATTGGCACGTGCCATGTTGGAGGGGTGGATCAACTGGGCTGGCGCACCAAAACACTTGCTGGTGGATCTTGACTCTGGCTTCAGGGACCAGTTCCTCAAGCTCATGGACAGCCGCTCAATCATTGTGCGGTGTGCGGCTGGTCAAGCACATTGGCAAAATGGTGTATGTGAAAGACACGGCGCTACATGGAAGTCAATTTGGAGCAAATTGGTGGATGAGCTCACCGTGGTGGAAGAAGAGTTTGCTGAAGCAGTAGCATGCACCAGTGATGCCAAGAACCAGCTGCGCAACAAGTCTGGATATTCACCTCGCCAGTGGGTCTTTGGAACCCAAATGAAGATGACTGGCGACCTTTTCGATAGCCACCTTGGCCCTGAGGAGTTCGACAATATCACAGCCGATGAGAAAGTCAGCCGCTCACATGCCATACGACTTGGTGCACGAGCTGCCTTCTTCAGCTGTCAGACCAAGGACGCTTTGCAACGCGCTGTTCAGCACAAAACCAGAGTTGAGAAGACCGAGTATGCAGCAGGTGAGCTGGTCTACATCTTCCGTGAACTACGTCAGCGGAAGGGCAAGAAAAGTGGCAGTGCGTGGATCGGGCCCGGCACAATCATCGGGCGAGAAGGGCACAACTATTGGGTGGCGAGAGGTGGACGTTGTCTTTTGGCCGCCCCAGAGCATTTGAGGACAGCCCATCATGAGGAGATTTCTGAGATGATCAGACTCAAGACCTCCATTGCAGAGCTGCGCAAGGTGATTGACCAAGCTGATGATGACCTCATAGACCAAGATTATCATGAGGATGAGGTCCAACATGGGCCAGAGCTCCCGGCCGATATGGATTGGGAACAACAGCCGCCTGACTTGAAGGAACAATCGGACATGGAGGTGGATCAGACAGGCGGCCATTTTGGGAAAGCCTTGACCCAGCCACGCCAGAGCAGGTGGAAGAGAACCGCACCGTCATAGGGTGCCTTTCCTGGCTAGCCAAACAGACCCGGCCAGACATTCAGTTTTCAGTTTGCCAAGCACAACGGAAGCAGCGGAATCCAGATGTTCGAGCGCTGAAGGAGACCAACAAAGTGGTGGCAGACGCTCTCGGTTTTCCAGAATCTGGTATCACTTTGAGGAAGTTGCCCAATGACCGATTGTGCTTTCTGGCTTACCATGATGCTGCGTGGGCCAATGCGACTCCGGACGACGCGGAACCCCATGATGATGCTTGGTTGGGCGGACATCAAGTGGCCTCTCAACTTGGCTCCCTCATTCTGTTGGCAGATACCAAATGCCTAGGAGCTGAAGGAGGCACTTTCAGCATGATCGACTGGAAGAGCAAAGCATCTCACCGTGTGTGCCGCTTTACTTTTGCGGGTGAGACAATGGCCTGCAGTGAAGCGCTTGAGGGAGCGCTCTTTTTGAGGGGGCTCTACATTTCCTTTGTGACTGGAGCCCGTGTTCCGGATAGTCAAGGTGGGGCACACTTTGACTTGCATCTTGTCACTGATTGCCGAAGCCTGTACGACCACATCCACAGAGAAGGAATTCCCCGTGCACCGAGTGAAAAGAGGTTAGCCATAGACCTAGCCGGTCTGAGGCAGGCGCTAATGAAAGAGGCAGAGTATCAATGGCGCCGCGAGAACGGGGAACATTTTCATCCTACTCCTGAGAGAGGCCTGTCCGACCTCCTCTGCATTGGTTGCCAACGCATGAGCAGTTGGCTTATCTTTTGACGAAACGATTGAAGGCGGATGAATGGTGGAGTAGGATCGAGAATGGCTGGCTGAGTCTTCCACTTAAAACCAATGCACAGGGAAGACAAAAATGCCAGGATTTTAAAGCAGTGTAAAAGCACTCCTTTTGCATGTTGCGCTGTGATTCAATCATTCAGCCACAATGGATCTGTGGCCGTATCAGGCACAAGGGTTTACATCAAGTGAAAAGAACGTTTGCATTTGCCTGCCATGAGCGTCATGTTGTCATAGAGCACTAACAGGTGTGCTGTGGATATTGGCTGACCCAGTGATTTCAAGCTCCGCGAAGTTGGGCGAACAAACAACGGGATCATAAAAAAAAAGCACCACCGAATCACCATCAAAACGGGTACTTTTCAAGCGGTCCCTGGGCCGAGCCGTCCACCAGGTATCACCAGGGGAAAATGGCCCATCATTCCCATAGGATCCATGTATGCTATATATGGTAACATTTACCATCAATATACTACCCCCAATGTTAGCATATATACCATACATGGATCCTATGGGATTGGGCACCGGTATCCTGAAAAAAGACGGCCATAGCTATGGCGGTTTGACATTTGAAAGGAATCGTAAAACGAAGGTTCCTGCTTTGACATCTAGTTGTTTTATGTTGTTTCGAGAGTTTTGAAAAATCCGATTTTTCCTACCTGGGATGAATGATCTCCATTGACGAACATATTTTTCGGGGCAGTTGAACCCCCCAGAAAATATTTGGGACTACTTGGCAAAGACAGGGGTTTTTCATGGTTTTTCAACATGTTGGAACCATCCCCAAATACCCCCAAGTTTGGAGCTTTATCGTATTAGGATTAGGTTTACCCTCTGGTAAATTAACATAGCTATTGAAAATGACCATTTATGGTGGATTTACCCATTGAAAATGGTGATTTTCCATAGTTATGTTAGTTTACCAGAGGGTACCATATCGAGAAAGAATCTTGTTTGCATGTGACATGGTATGATATATTTGTTTGTTTTTGAAACGCACCCCCTCCTAATCAAGCGTAGCTGCTTTGTTTAGGGCGCCCTGAGCTATAAGTCAATTTATCAACCGATATCAATCCATCTAACTTTGGAATACTATAGCAAACAAGTTAGTTTCTATTACTTACAATAACCATTGGAAAGTTCAGAATCTAGAGCTGTCAACCCATCTATAATCGACATATCATCGATATATCTACCGTCAACGTGTGGATCGCATTTCGTTCTGCACCGGGTCCAGCTGTTTCCACCTTGTAGGTAGCGACGCACGAGTGTTGAAAGGCATGGTCGCCGTGTGGACGGTTGATGGAAACCATGGTTCTGGCTGATGCTTTGAAATGTCTGGGTAAATTATAACGACCTCACTGCGACCTCACTGGAAATCATGGTTAGTAAGGGAAATCATCCCCAAATGGCCTTAATTCAGGTTAGTGAATTATTATAATTTACCCAGAAATGTGGCGGTGTCCATAAAACAAGATGCAGCCCACGAACCCGAATGCTCACACGTATGTTAATGGTACAGATGACGAAACACACGGATATGCGGTCACGCAGAACACTTTTCTGAAACTGTTTATTTGAACAGTCTTGTACATTTTTCCACTGTTACCATACCAGTGAACCGTAGACTGTGGAAGATGGAAGAAAGTGGCGTGCAAAGTGTGAAGTGTGGAGTGCAAAGTGACTGACACTTAGTGTCAACTGCAAAGCCCGAAGTGTAAAGTGTGGAGTGTAAAGTGTGGAGTGTAGAGTGTGGAGTGGTGTAAAAAGTGGAGTGTAAAGTGTGGGGTGTAAAGTGTGGAGTGTAAAGTGTGAAGTGTAAAGTGCAGAGTGTGGAGTGTAAATTGAGGAGTGTCGTGTGTAGAGTGCGGAGTGTGGGGTGTAGAGTCGGGAGTGTCGTGTGTACAGTGTGGAGTGTAGAGTGGGGAGTGTAAAGTGTAGAGTGTGGAGTGAGGAGTGCAAAGTGTAGAGTGTGGAGTGTACAGTGTAGAGTGTAGAGTGTAGTGTAGAGTGTGGAGTGTAAAGTGTAGAGTGTGGAGTGTGGAGTGTAAAGTCTGGAGTTTAAAGTGTGGGGTGTGGAGTGTGGAGTCTAAAGTCTGGAGTTTAAAGTGTAGAGTGTGGAGTCTGGAGTGTAAAGTGTAGAGTGTAACGTGTAGAGTGTAAAGTGTAGAGTGTGGAGTGAGGAGTGCAAAGTGTAGAGTGTGGAGTGTACAGTGTACAGTGTAGAGTGTGTAGAGTGTGGTGTGGGGTGTAAAGTGTAGAGTGTGGAGTGTGAAGTGTAAAGTGTGGAATGTAAAGTGTCGAGTGTGGAGTGTAAAGTGTAGAGTGTAAAGTGTGGAGTGTAAAGTGTAGAGTGTAAAGTGTGGAGTGTAAAGTGTGGAGTGTAAAGTGTGGAGTGTGGAGTGTGCAGTGGGCCAAGTGTGAAGTGTGCACTGTAGAGTGTAGTGTGGGGTGTGGAGTGTAAAGTGTGGAGTGTAAAGTGTAGAGTGTAAAGTGTAGAGTGTAAAGTGTGGAGAGTAAAGTGTAGAGTGTAAAGTGTAGAGTGTAAAGTGTGGAGAGTGTAAAGTGTGGAGTGTGGAGTGTGCAGTGGGCCAAGTGTGAAGTGTGCAGTGTAGAGTGTAGTGTGGGGTGTGGAGTGTAAAGTGTGGAGTGTAAAGTGTAGAGTGTGGAGTGCGGAGTTCAAAGTGTAGAGTGTAAAGTGTGGAGTGTAAAGTGTGGAGTGCAAAGTGTGGAGTGTAACCTGTAGAGTGCGCAGAGTGTAAGTGTAGAGTGTAGCGTGTAGAGTCTGGAGTGTAGAGTGTAAAGTGTAGAATGTATGAAGTGTAAAGGGTGGAGTGTAGAGTGTGGAGTGTAGAGCACGCAATGCGACACGTCTGAAGTGCTGCGCCTGCCACGCAAAATGACGACAGAGGTCTCCAAAATGATGCGCCTGCCACGAAGATATTCAAAATCGATGTTTTGCCACAGAATTTGCACCTTGTCGCCACTTGCCCTGACACTGCGATTCGCAAAAATCACGCAACACGACACGTCTAAAGTGCTGCGCCTGCCACGCAAAATGACGATAGAGAAAAGAACAAAAGAAAGGCGGACCTGGGAGGAGTCGAGCCTCCACGGTCTGCGTCTCAGCCACATTGGCTAAAGAAGGCAGCGCCACACCCATAGGGCAACAGGTCCTGTTACTTATTTCTTTTTATCCCTCCTTGTCTCCTGGCCTTTGTTGTCCTGCTTGGACGTCCAAAGCAACGTGCTTGGAAGCCTTCGAAAAGGAGATGTTTTGCAGCTATCCCCATAGACACAGCGATGCCACAGGAAAACCAGAGACCCGAGACGAGACACGTGGGAGCATCAAAACGAGCATGTCGTGCCTCCAATTTTGACACTTTGTAGCTTCAAAATCGATATTTTCTACGAGTTTTCGTTTATCGAGGTATCTGGCCTGGACTATCCATGGATTTAGATTAAATGTTGTCTTCGTGTTTAGTTCAACATCTTTGAGTGTCATTCATGACTGGTGCCGCCTGAAATCCATGGGAATCCCGGCTCCAGTCCGACAAATCAGTGCGACAGGGACAATCTGTGGAGTTTGTTTTGCAAAAAGTAGATGGTCAAGTGTCATATCCGACTGAAACGACGTGTTTTTCAATGTCCTGTCCGGAGTCTGTGAGGTTTTTTGAGGCTCTCGCTCCTGGAAAACCTCATGCTGTAATATGTTGAACAAAAATGTGAAGGAAATTGGATACATGATGATACATGTATGTAATATATGTTCCTTGGATAAGATTTACCATATATCTTTGTATTATATACATTTATATACTCCTTTAATCCAGTAGCATATTTGGCATTAGCTGAGTCAAACTATTACATAGGCTGGAATGTTTCACACAGCTATGTTATTTAGATTACCGCCAGGGCATAGTGATGTTGCCCAGCTGCCCAAGTTGCCATGAAGTGATGCTGAAGTTTCTGGAGGCAGATTTGGCATCGCACGCTGCAGAGAGATCTGCATTCAGGAGCGAATGCATTGGTAGTTGCTGTTTGATATAATGGGAAATATACAGCAATTTTTAGTGTGGAATATATATATATATATACACAAGCGCTGATATATATATATATACACACTCTTATAATTGTATGACATGACTATTCCAACACTATATGGCTATTTAAGAAGTATACTCAAAACCTAACTACTATCGAATTTATTGTAAGCAATAATAATTAGTTGCTCAGAAGTGCTGCACTATCAACCTTGTAGGCTTGTACTCGTTTGTCTTGTCATACATCGAAAAATGTACTGGTATCTAAGAATGGCCATGGAGTATGGACAGATGAATACCGATTCCATCATGCGTATACACGAATTTGTCACATTTGGGGGATTGCTTGGCCCGTTGCGCATGAGATTAGCAGGGATCAGGAAACAGCTTCGTGGGCCCCACCATGGTCCCCGAGTGGTGGATTCCATGGTGCTTCCTCGCTGTTCCAAGCAGTGCTTCTTTGCTTATCCACTGCCAATAAAAGTGATCCGAGAAGGATTTGATAAGCCTTTGGCCCTTTACTAGGCATGTATCATCATGTATCCACCTATGCCTTAAGCGTAACATAACATATGCCCAGGGTTTGATTGGAAATGTGATAATGCGTTTATTCGTGGCCTCATCTTTAAAGGTACCTATGTGGACAGACCTATGTGAAGGGTTGCGGCCTTCAAAAATCCAGCAGTTTTTTGTGCCTGACAAGGTTGTGTTTCGTGGTGTGTTTTTGCTCAACTATCCTTTGTGATTCTTGATGTCTTCAACAAAAAAAATACGTATGAAAGAAAAGGGAGCGACTCAAGTGCGATCCAAGATCAGCAAAAAACGAATAGGAAAGGACTAGCGACTAAACACGACGGTCAATCTTTTGGGAGTAGGTAGGTGGTGCACCCTAGTTTTGGGCTCCATTACTTTGCAAAAAGACACACACACACAACACACACACACACACCCTAAGGGCAGGGACCTCGAACACGAAACAACGCTTCTGCCAATCAATGTAATATTGTTCGGACGCCTGCCCTCTGCACAATGACAACTACTCTTGCGACTAGAGCTGTATCTTCGACGTTGGTCCCACATATATTCAAGTTGATTGGTCACATTGGTGCACAGCTGCTTCACATGATGGAAACTGCCGTGCGTGTAGGGCACACAACCCCGTTGCATATGTGTTCTTAGCGTTCCTGCGGGGCCCTTTGGCAGTTTCCAGTGAGTTTTGGTCGGATTGTTTTTGAGGCTGTATATGAAAGCATTCGGCGCTCGGGGATTAAACATCTGTGCTGGGGGGCCGCATCCAAGCATTTCTCCCCCGAAACGGTTTCAACCAACGTAAGAAAATTATAGAAAATTGTTTGTTCACCAATCTGTTTGTGACATGAAATGTCATGAGTCAAGACCATGGGTGGCCATCGACATCACCCAGTATGATTCGTCTCCACCTTCCCGGCATACTTCCGTCTGTTGCCCCATGGCAACGAAATACAACTCCCGTGTGCTCCATGCATGGTATATGTTTTGATATTTCCCCACATTTAATGGGCCAGGGGCAAATATTGTAACCAAATTGTTGATTACGGCTATCATTTCAGTTTACATTACTGGTATTCTTAATGGTGGTATATTCCCTCATATTTTCGCATAAGATTGTTCTGGAAGAACCGCAAAGACTTCACTGCGACGTCCCTGGAAGGGAATCATACCCAAAGGGCCTTTACCTTATTTCAGCTAGTTTTAAGCTAGTGAGCTGTTTATTATTCAAATATACTGCAATGGGGTATAATGGGGATACGCTGGAACACATTGGGACTGAACATTTATAGGGAAATCTAAATCCAATGGTGTGCCCCGATCATTTTCAAATTTTCTGTTGCAAATCAACCATCTTCCGGATGGATCCGAATGAAGCAAATTCCTTCGGATGGCAGGAAGGTTTTGCCGGTTTCGCCATTCAGAACGGTGTGGCGCGTTTCCGTCCCTTGCGATGGAAGGAGGTTTTATTGCGGGTGTTGTCAAACGTATCAAAAAACCACGTAGAAAATAGTTTGCATATGTTTGCATATCTTATGTTTGCATAGTACATATTTACATAATTATATACAATTTGTATCAATTTGTGTTTATGTGTTATTGACGTGAACTATATCAATGTATACATCACTACTTGCACAAAATCATCAATGCGTTTGGATTGGAAGCAAACGCCTTATATGTAGTTCTACATATTCTCACGATGGGTAATTTTGGCCTTCGTTTTGGCCTTGGCCTTGGACATTTCAGTGCCAAATCCCCTGATTTCTCGGAACGGGGTTCTTTGTTTCATCATCACCACCCCTTTAAGGCTACTTTTCGGGGGGGGAGCAGCCAAAATGTCGCTGAACGTCCCCGAGGTGTCGTTTTTGTGGGGAGGATCTTCAAACTTCGTTCAACATGTAAGTTTCAAGGCCTCAAAAACACCTTGAAAAATGTCGTTGACATTTTGGGCACGTCCCCCCCACCTGAAAACGGTGGTGATGTTTCATCCATTGTTTCATCATCATTTCTCCAGGACACACGGCACGCAACAAAACGATGTTCGCTATCAACTTTATCTTCATAAGGGATAAAAATTCGCCACCCTCCATTAACATATATATATATTAATTGGGGTAATAACATCAACTTTATCTTCATAGCCACCTGAAGTCAGACGCGGCGCAACGTCAGGTTTGCAGCGAACATGTTTGTTACCCAACAAAACAAGTGTACATGCGTCCAAGAGACCCCGCCAAATCCACCAATCAATGATCTGAATCTGGTCACAAGTTCGGTGATATTTTTCAATTTGGCGGATATAAGAGAATCATATTTTATTTATATATAGGCCCCAAAAAGTATCCATTTCTCTTTTCAATATATCATAATATATCCAAAAATATCCAAACATATCCAAAATATCAAACAATTCATCCAACAAAAACATATTTGTTTAAACATTGATTTGCATTTCCCCGCGGTTTCGATTTCGATTTAGCGGTTTCAAGCCTTCTGCGTCCGAGGTTCAGCGGCGGCTGCGGTGTTGCGGGAGCGGATGGTGGTCTCGCACCTTGGGATGATGGTGGTATCGTGGTTGTCTTACGGGAAATGATGGGACATTCATAGAATTGGATGATGGGAAAATTTACAGGAAACCCCTATATTTGATGGTAAAAACCATGGTTTCCTGTAGAAGATTTTCCCTTAAACCAATCCATTGAGACATACTCTCCCAGCAATAACATTCACAGTTAATGTCAACCCCGGATGAGACTAAACCATGGTTTATTATTTAGGGAAGTACTCCTCCAATAGCCATAATCTGATACTTAAATATGGTACTCCCCCAATTAAATGGCCTATAGGGTTTATTAATCCGGGGTTGACATTACATTGGGTTTCACGGTTGTGAAACACGGTTTAACCAGATGAAAACCGCTAGCCCTTTTTTGGAAATTAGCGCTTTGTGAACTGGAAGCCATGGCCCAGTTATAAATGGTTTAACCACCAACAACCACTAAGAATATTTGTTTAACATTGTTTAACTATCTACATTGGAAAAGTGACATGGCAAACTATGTTCCGGGATATCAATGGGATTTCATAAGCAAATATAGGGGTTTATCAGTTGTAAACGTCAATCTGCGAATCAAGTATTTGAAGGGATACCGTCTGGTATTTTAAGAGTTTGCTATGGAAACCATGGCCCATTTACTTCGATGATTTCCTTATAGGAAAAAATGTTTTTTCCAGAACTATTTGAGTTTACCAGAGGGCATCATATTCATAACTTGTTCCCCTGCCAGGTGTAGCACCAGGAAAAATGCTCGATGAAATGCCGGAAGGAATGCTAAAACGATAGAATGCCAGATGAAATGCCAGAGAATATTTCAGAATGTATGCCAGATCACAAAACAAATCAGATAGAATGCCAGATAGAGTATAAAATGTCAGATGCCACATGAAATGCTGGATAACATGTCGGAATATGTGTCAGATAGAATGTCAGAGATGAAATGCTAGATACAATGTCAGATCAACTGTCAATAGGTTGCCAGATCAAATGCCAGACCGGCAGACCGCATGCCATATCAAATGTCAGATAGAATGCCGAATAAGAATCAAGATAGACTGTCGGAATACGTGTCAGATAGAATGTCAGAATCAAACGTCAAATAGTATGTCAGAGAATATATGCCAGATTTAAGATGTCGCCATATATGTCAGAATATTTGCCATGGTGGGGATCACTCAAAGAAATGTTTTTCTTTGCCAGTTTGTTGGTTTGTAGAGGTGGATTTCGGTGGCATGATTTTTGGATAGTTACTTTGGATTGCGAACTTGTACTTTAAGATTTTGCCATCAATGACGACTTACAGTACTAAACTACATTGTTGGTTTGCAAACGGGGGATTGACCCCAGGACACTGAATTGTTATTTTGAAAACGAGGTGAAACCATGGGCTGAGCAACCGCAATTGCACATGAAAATGTTAACTGATGATTCTTCAGTTGGGTTTGCCAACTATAAATGGAAGAACACATGTTGATAGCATCCCGATTGTTTGCCTTACTTCATCATGAAACTGTTGTCAAACAACAAAAACTGTTGATGTTTGCCAATCGATTGGCGGGTCTATGAGATACAGCGGGGATACAACTCTGGATATGATGGACCTGCTAAGGAAACGGACCGGATGGGTAGTGTAGCATAATTATTATTTGTTTTGCCATACTTATGAGTATATTGGCCTTACCCGTTTAAAGGTTAAACACGGTATGAATGGAAACCCAAAAAAAGAAAGAAAGGGTACGCCCCAGCTCTTGGCCATAAAACACGGTGAAAAACATGATCATCAACTGATCATGTTTTCTTTGTGTAAATTGATATTGTGCATTTGGTGAGTCAGTGATTCTTCAATTTCCCCAGTTTTTATTCAGCACGTTACTTGTTTGTTTCTTGTTTCGGTCCTTTGACCCAACCAAGATGGGCATGTGGCAATTATTTGTCTATCAATTTTTCGGGGTCGAATTCTGAACTTACATTGATCTAAAAATTGATTGTTTTGGGGGTTTATTGAACCAGTCCCTGGGTAATTTCGCAGTTTGCGAACTGGAAAACAACCATGTTGAACGGCAACGAATCGAAGCTTCAATGGGCCATGGTGTTTCCAGTTCCCAGTCATTAGTCATTCCCTGGGGGTAATCGCTGGGGGTCCTAAGTTGGAGCGGACTGATGGTGTGAGACCAATGGGGACATGGCATCGTAATGAATGGGTCAAAACAATCAGAGGAGGGGTCGGGACCGAAACATTCGTGAACAATCAGCATTTGCATGATTTGCATGTATATTTTTATGACCGCGTAATATCAATATGCCGCACATTCGCAATGTGCTGAATTCGTCAACGAAAGGAACGTATGCCCAGGAATTTTAACCTTGAAGGTTTTCATGGGGGACACACGCTCCACTTTGGGGGCAGAAATATTCAACAACATCAACAAACCCTGGCTATGTGTCCAAACTTTTGACCTCACACCCTCGTTGCCATTTTCTGCTGGCCCTGTTCTGTAGCAAATATGTTTTGTTTGGAAAGAAACGACAGCAGCAACATTTGGATGTGACCGGAGTCATCTATATTATATGTGAGCAATCTCGAAAACCCTAGGTTCACGGAAAGGACATCCACAAATTTGGGAAGGTCCCATCGCTTACCACACGTTTGTACAATAATGATATATGGTAAACTTGGGGGGCATCGCTTGCAGGAAACTGCTACATTTATATATATATATATATATAATTCACAGACATCAACGTCCAATTTGGGTATCGCTAATGTGGATATTAGAGAAATATAATGACATAACCTTGAAAAGGGGTATCGCTAATTTGGGAAGGTCCCATCGCTTACCGTGTGTTTTTAACAATTTCCATTTTCCATCAATTTCCATAAACAAATGTCCGTCCAATACATATTTAGTATTGCCGCAGTTTTTGCGGTGGCTCAAATATATATATATATATTATATCACAAATGTCTTACTCCTTCCCTGATGTTTTTGGTTGGCCCGAGAAAGTCAGAAACAGATGCGGCAGAACATGTGATCAGTCTCTTATGCATTAGCAGTCAAGATAGGAAGTCCACCATGATTTTCGCCAAGAACTACCAACAGATATGGGTATAGGTCAAACTTGCATACTCCAATAATAATAATAATTAGAAGATGGTATTCATAGTAAACATCATATACGAAGCCATCTGTGGTCACATCCCCATATCGCAAGTTTGGCTTAGTCGATTGACCCATCCTACAAGGTGGTTTATAACTGGGGTTAACTATGATAGATCTCATAGATCTGAAGATATATTGAACTAGTTACTATGGTTATCTATGGTTTATAAAGTTTATAAACCAACTGTTTACACTGCCCATGACGACTAAGGAAGGGCTCTGTCGCTTGGCTGCACCTTTTTCTTGGCCATTTGTGGCCATTCAATGTAGAATAATGCAGATTATAAATCAACCTAGAACTATAGTTATAAAACTAACTAGTGTTGATGGTAGACACATGGTTTTGTCTGCATATGTAACCTACGTTTTTGTTTCAAAAAAAATGCCATGAAACAAGAATATACAATACGATATGATGATCACGAGCCATGGCACCCAATTTCCTGGCGTGGACTTTGCACCCGATCCCACCCAGCTTGGTGATTCCAAGCTCGGAGGTGTTCTACATCCTCACGACACGGGAGGTCGGTGTTGTGATGGTCGTTGTTGAAGGGGACACCAAGCGCTGCTGTAGATGTTTTTAAAAAATAGATAAATTTTACCGAAGCTCTTTTTGTATGTTCAGTAGAAGTGCCAAACTTTTTCGTGATGACTAGATTGTAAGAAGTGACTAGATGATCATTTTACAATATTTTACATAGCAATTAGGTTTATGCCAAACTTTAGGTTTATTTACATAGCAACGACTCCACTTGTGAGCGAGTTATAGCAAGCCGGCTGAGCCTTGTTGTTGGGGACACAAGGAGGACCTCAGCAGGCTTTGATGCAAGGACAATAATAAGGATTGTAGTATTATATATGTGTTATTGTTCTTGTATTAAAGCCAAATACAATCATTAGTACTAATGATCATTGTTGTATTTATATAATATTAATGATCATTGTGGTGATTAGTATATTTGTAAATAACCATGATGATCAATAGTATGTTCCATCAATCTTGATCATTTATTGTTGTGAAATTTCATAGAATTTAAAAGATGGATCATAGTAATACATAGTAATACAGTATTTATCATCACCATGATCACGAAAATGGATCAACACCACACCTCGCGTTTTGACGCGTTGCCACGCGTGGCTACGCGGCCTCGCGTCTCGGCTCCAGCAGCGCCCTGCAGACCCGGCGGAGCCCGGCGTCGCGGCCATGGAGAGCTTCGAAGAACTGCTGGATGCCTCGTGGTGCTCCTTCCGCAGGAAGCTCTTGGAGGCTCTGCGGCCCTGGGGTCCCCTGGGGTCATGGTTTGTTGATGAACTGGGGATGTGACCGTCAGAAAGCAATTCAGTGGGTGATCAAAAGATCAAAACTGCGATTTGTGAATTCTTTTCTTCATGTAGTGATCATTAAGTAACCGAAAAAACCAACCGGGTCTACTGAACTCGATGGCCATGTGATGATGTTATTGCGGTGGTATACAGCCACAGGAATGTCATGGGGTCCAAGAAAATCAGGGGTCTCACTGCTTAGGCCTAATCGTACAGAAATTGTGAGTGAGGGATATTCCCCAACATGCTGCGGCTCAGTTTTGGGGATGATAGTTACGACGATTGGCAACTCAGAATACGCTTTGTTCTGCATCATGGTGAGTTTGCAACACTTGGCAGTGTGAGAATCAATGAGAAGATTCGGTTTATATTGGGGGTCCCCATTGTTTGGGCAACTTTGAAGTGCAAGTCAAGATCTTTACCCTTAAGAGGTGGATGAACTTTTTTTTACAGGAAGGGTTTACCGCGATTTACCACTTCAGGTGATCAGAAGCTAAGAGAACCTATAGGAAAAAGACAGAACAGGTCAGATTTGCCACTATATTAGTAGGAATCGACTTTTCTATTTTTTGGGGAGGTCAACTATACATATATATATATATTTATATTATATATATATACTGTACATATTTATGCTGAAAGATATTCCACATGAAGGCTGTATGATCAAAGGAGGAGGGACTTCTACAACAAGTCAGAGATTGCACGGGTAGTTCTGCTTGGTGGTACCGCTATTTTTCATTTTTTCTGTCCAAGACTCAGTTCCCATAACTTCAGAACAGCCAGCTGTGATGGTAGCCACTACTCTGTGCTGTCGAGGACCAAGCACAGCTGGTCAAATCACGTCCCTGTTTTGTCGCTGAAAAAACCAGTGATTTGTCTCAGCTTCGCATTGTTTTTGGATTGCTATAGGCATTTTGATCAATGAATCTGTGGTTTCAATTTCCAACTACTTTGTTTGCTTCCATACCGGCCTGGATGAGAATTCTCTCCTTTCCTGATTCCATCAACTTCCTACCTGGCAAGGCAGAACGATGGTTGAAACCACGATTGGTTGAAACCACGCAGGAACAATAGTTTTAGTATTATCTGTGGTGTATATATGTACACATACAAATACCACAATTGCATCAGCATTACATGTATAATTTAATCACATCATTAGTCATTAGTGTATAATTATACGTATATCATATTTGCATATAAATCTTTGAAACATGTGTTCGTTTGCTTCATAAACAAACACATGATTTCACTCAGTTTAGAAATTCGGAAATTCTCGGGGGAAATTTGTTTCGGAAGCTTCATGGGCTTGGCGGGTCAAGCTCATGGTTTTCAACAAATGGGGGTATGCCCACAGCCTATGGCCATTTTAAGAGGAAAGATGAACGGACAGATGAACTGATGAACTGATGGATGGATGCAAAGCCGGCAGGCATACGAACGCAGTTGCGTCCCGGAACAGGACAATGGCCCCAAAGGGGCCCGTAGGGCGTCTGAAACTGATTTGATCCACAAGGATTCCACAAGGCTGGTAGGTGGTTAATGGGCATCCTAGATAAGTTGGTTTAGAACTACTGTAGGTCCGTGGTTTAATACTATATAGATATGTCTCTAGATGGCTTTACCAACTGGTTCATGGGCCCTAAAGTGACCCCAAAAGAGCAAGATTTGCGGTGCCGTACAGGTGAGTCACTGATTAAGCCAGAGGTGCAATGATGGGTTTCTACTTATACTGTATCTACATTGGGCTTGAATGGGGTGTCAGGTACTCTTAGTGTTTTTTTTGCACAGCTACGGAAATTTCACATATCTAGATGACTCTATGTTTCAGGAGGTCAAATATCTATGTTTCTGAGGGGTTTCCCTTGGCTGTGTTGCCATGCTCAAATGTTGCCATGTTTTGATACCAAAGGGAGGCAACTGGGACTGGGCTTCAAAGGTTTTGACCCAGAAAATTGGGTTATGGCTGGGTCAAGAATGCAGATGGTGTTTTTAAGTGCCACCATTTTTTCTAGGATTATTTTTGGGGATGATAACGATGGGGATTTGAAACCCCTTACCACGGCATTTTCTTTTATAAGGCAGGGCTTGAAACATTGCTACAACATGCTTCAACCATGTTACATTTCCTCAGAATCCTATTTATGTATATATATATACACATATTTTTCTTTCTTTTCTGTACCTAGTTGTTGATAGGGCTTTGTCCCTGTTCAGTGGCCTAATTTGGAACCCTATCAGTGGGTGATGGTGCACGGCCGCAGGAAGTATCAATGCGGGCCACGCCAGCAACATTACTCGAGTCCACAACATCCACAGTGCGACACCGGGGGATTTCAGGGGGCTGCTTGAATCGTGATGCCACTTAACACGTGCACCCCTCAGTTGCAAGTTGGTTCCTAAAACCTATATATATATATTATACAGGTAATATCAACAGCCACGGTTAGCAGCCCAGACGCCTAGCTAAAACAAGGTTGCCTTTGCCTATCTATAGGGGGACCCACATTGTAGTTATTGAAAGATAACAACCATGGTTCAATTGGTTAGTAAGGTCCACCGCTGCAGTTGTCCGATTTGTAACCACTTAAGAACTCAACGGTTTTCATGTGCCCGGGAAGCATTAGCAATTGAGGATCGTGATTGAACTACCCAGGGTCCATAGTCTTGAACCACAGCCATTGTACGTGCCGCAGTTTATTCTGGGCTGATATTGAAAAAATGAGATGATGCGGAAACTGGCAGCAGATAAAGTGAAAAGTATCTGGACTTGGTTTGCAGAAAGAATAATGATCAAGAAGATGACAAATCATAAGTTAAATTGGTGTCTATTCAAAATGGACTGGTCACTTTTGATTCCGCCCTCTTGCTATTTAGAATAGCTATTGAACATCACATCGTTTTTCAACATTGGTATATAAATCGCCGAGAGGGCCCAAAAAATTGCCATTCTCCATAGCAAACTGTTCGATTGCCAAAGGCTATCCCCATTTTGGTTGGTGAAATTCCCAAAGGAATCCCATTAATTAGTCCCATTTTTGGTGTCCACTCTAAAAATCCCCTGAGTTGATGGTTTCCCATGATTCATGTCCCTTAAATTTTACGGATTTTCATCACCTGAATCCCACGGGTTTTTTTCAGTCCACGGTGAGTCGATCACGAACGGAAACGTCCACCATCTGTCAATCCAACAGGCCAAGGAAAATCACACAATTGTTGTGGAAAATCAAGCAACTATAGTCAAAAATGGAAGCCAACTGTTGGTTATGAAAACTCTTCCATTTTAAGCCAGTTGGTTAAAAATGGTTTGAACTTGTGAAAATGGCATGAAACCACACAGAACCTTCGGATACCTTCGGAGACCGTGGCAGGTACGCGAGCCCTTCTGCCACCCAAGTCTAGATACGCCCAAGTTACTCTCAATTAGGTCCGGGATAATGGCATCATGCTTGGGTTCATCAAACTGAAACGATGGTTTTTTGAAGGCGGTTATATTATTTTCTCGGCTAGCCATTTGATTTTGCGGATAGGAATCCGGGGCGAAGGAATTCATTGCTTGCGGCATGACATCAAAAGAACATGGGCGATACTGGGTTCACTGGTTGTGATCGAAATGTATGTCTCCGTCTTGTACATGTGCATTTATAGACAGGTATGTGACTCCCCTCCAACGTGACCAACAATGGGTTTCAAATCTCATTCAACTCGAGCTCTGAGTTTTTGTCATGACCTTTGAAGACACTTTGTTTAAATATCTTTCACAGTTTTTCCCCACCTGCCAGGTGAGGGTTGTTAGATTTTATCAGAGCGCATGCCCGCCTCCTCCTCCTCCTCCTCGACTAGCTGTCCTCCTGGCCCTCCTCCTCGCCTCCGCCTCTTCCACCTCCACTTCCGCCTTGCCAACCTTGCCAACTCGTCGCCAAGCTCTTCGCCAACTTCCCAGCTCAGTGCGCACTGCTGGACGTCAACCTGCGAGCTGCCCAGCTCAGTGTGCACCGCTGGACCTCAACCTGCGAGCTGCCCAGCTCAGTGTGCACCGCTGGACCTCAACCCGCGAGCTGCCCAGCTCAGTGTGCACCGCTGGACCTCAACCGGGGACCTGCCCAGCTCAGTGTGCACCGCTGGACCTCAACAGCCAGATAGAATGCCAGAAGATATGCCAGATAGAATGTCAGATAGAATGCCAGAAGATATGCCAGATAAAATGCCATGAGATATGCCAGATGCAATGAGATATGATAGATAGAATGCCAGAAGATGCCAGATAGATGCCAGAAGCCAGATAGAATGCCAGAAGGTATGCCAGATAGAATGCCAATGCCACAAGATATGCCAGATGCCAGAAGATATGCCAGATAGATATGCCAGAAGATATGCCAGATAGAATGCCAGAAGATTTGCCAGATAGAATGCCAGAAGATATGCCAGATAGAATGCAGATATGCCAGAAGATATGCCAGATAGAATGCCAAATAGATAGAATGCCAGAAGATATGCCCAGAAGATATGCCAGATAGAGATAGAATGCCAGAAGATATGCCAGATAGAATGCCAGAAGATTTGCCAGATAGAATGCCAGAAGATATGTCAGATAGAATGCCAGAAGATTTGCCAGTAAGAAAATGTATAAATGTCATGGTGAGGATCACACGAAGTAAAGTAATTCAAAACATTTCTCAAACGATAAAATGACCGTCAAGTATCCCAATTTTTATGAAGTTCAATTTGAAATTCCCATATTTCCGATGGAATTTCCCGACTTTTTCCAGACCTTTCACTGAAAACGCCTGGCGAGGCCTGTGGTGCCCTTCGACACGGAGGAGCCGCAAGCGCAAGTGCCGGAGACGACGATCGCCACTTGGGAGGCCTCGCCCGATGAAGAGATGCAGAAGGCACGGAGGAAGGCAAGGGGATGGGGGGTTCCTAAAATGAAGGTACCAAACAATGGATGGTTTATGATGGAAAATCCTACTATAAATGGATGATAACTGGGGGTACCCCCATGACTTGGGAAAGCTCCATGGAGCTGTAGTGGGATACGGGGATTTGATGGGATTTGTTTCACCAACATGGGATTTTTGGATGGCTTTTAACCATCAACAATTAGGATATGGGAGTTGAATGGAATTCGATGGGTAGTGTTTTTTTTGCATATGAAACTATGAAACCATCGACAAATGGGATAAAATTGGAATTTAATGGGATTCAATGCGAGTTTTAACGATGAACAATTCAGATAAGTGGAATTTAATGTGATCTAATGGAAGTTTTACCATCAACAGGATATGCTGGGATTTAACCATCAGCTCGAGGAATTTAGTGAGTGGGACTTTCATGGGGCTAAATTAATGGGATTCAATTTTAAAAATCACCAGCAAACATGTGGTGTATTTAATTGGCATATATATATATGTTATATGTATGGTAAATGGTCAATATATATATAGTTAATCATGTAGAATATCACACCACACGAAAACCCTATGTCTCGCCGCCGTCTCAAACGTAAGGATGCGTCTTTTGCGGAAACCTGGGTCTATATATATATACACACATTATACACATGATACATCATTATACCGTCCATGTACTGTATGGTGTGTAGTAGGTATGTCATCCCCACATCCCCAACATCCGTAGAGACGCCCGAAAAAAATGCATTGCCAGGAAGAGTCTGGTCTCCTAGGCGATGTACCCCGGCGACTTTCCGTTTCTTGGACGTCGATTGGAGAGATTTTACCACGTCACGGACGTGGTAAATGCAAGAATTTTCACCATCCCCAATGACTCACCAGAATTGTGTTTACCATCTGGTAAACTAACATAACTACGGAAAATCACCATTTTAATGGATAAATCCACTATAAATGTGCAATTTTCAATAGCTATGTTAAATTACCAGAGGGTATTTTTGCTGGGAGCGGGGAGATGGTCTTGGGGTTCGGATGTGGAGGTGATGGAAAAATTTCCCCCACTTTCGAAGCCACCAGAAATGGCGAATTCACCAGAAAGCCGCTGAAGAACGAACTATTTGTTAAATTTGTTAAACATAATTTCGGATGTCCCGCAACCAGTTTGCTCATGATACTTATAAAAGGATTGTTCCTGAGGATTCCTGAGGTACCGTGATTTATTGGGGGCCATGTTAAAAGCAAATGCTCAGCATCCACAATGACAAGCAGGTTGACCAGAATTTTCCCCGGGAGAAGACTCAACTTTATGATGACATACAGTATATATACGTATATATATATATTATTAACATATATAGATAGATAGACTAATATGTGTATACATACATACATACATACATACATACATACATACATACATATATATATATATATGTAGATATAGATACCGATATAGATATGTTGTATATAGAAATAGATATCTACATGTCCATACACATCACGCTTCTATCCCTAGATCCATCCAGCTTTCCATGTCCAGTCGCAAGGAATGCTATGGTCCTCTAGAGCAAGAAACGCCGAAAACACTGACCCCAACAGTCGCTCTGCGCAGCTGAGAACCGGGAGAGAAATATATGGCCAAATATTTGAAGACCTTAATAACTATATGTGTTTATATAACTAGATTAATGAACCATAGATGCCATAGATCATCATTGCTTGCTGAAAGATTATCATGGTTTGCATGAAACTATGAGGATTGTCATGAACCATAGGTTAATTAGTATGTTTGCATTATATATACATACATACAATGTTGATAGTTGTAGCCTATGTTTTTTTCCGAAAAAAAAAACTAAATTGATGGTTATGAGTTGATAGTTGTTGGACTAGGATCCTCGGTATTCTTTTACTTTCTTGAGATGGTACAACTAATTGCCGTAAAAAGTCCTTGAACTATATGTGCCATGGTCAAATTGTTTGCATGACACAAGATGCTCTGCCAATTGAAAGAGCACAAGCGAACTTGCAAGGAACTAATTTTGCATTTCAGCTGTGGGCATGGCTACAGATCCTGGAGTGGCCCGATCACTCTGTACACTCACAGGAACCTTTCGCCTGGGGCATCGCGTGGCGAACTACTATTATTTTTTAAAAGTTATCACGGGTACCATGCCTCCAATCCGCGTTTCCGGTCAAGGATGTAAATATGTTTATGTGAACTACTTTTCCGCTGAGGCTGAGGCACTTCCACCCCGAAAAAAACATTGCATGCTTCTGTTATGTGTTTAATCTTCGTCAACGCTTTGCAAACTCTTAAGTACATACCAGGTAAAGATATTTTGCCGACGTTTGATACCTCAGGTTGCTCATCGCTGCGGAGATTGGGTTATCAGACTAATGCCCAGGTTGCAAAGAAATGCTGCAACCTTATTAGAGCTCATTTTTTTTTAACGTTTGGCCAACCCTAAACATGCATAAGCACGCAGATCCAAAAACCTTTGAATCCACCATCCTTGCAAACTGATGATGTGGCAGAAGATAGTGCGAGGCACTGCAGAAGAGGAATGCTAGGGGTGATTTAAAAAAAGAGAAAGGGAGGTTGTCTTGTACCTTGGGACTTGAAATTTTGGTCACGCCTTGCGATTCCTTACCCTTCCTTTTCTGTTTTATTTCTCACTTCTTTTCGCGGATTAAATCTTGCGAGACTACAATTATGTGCATGATGCATGTGTGTTTATGGTAGACCAACTCTTGGGGCGCTCCGATTGTTGGCCCCGGTGCTCTCTTGACCTTCACGACATGATATTCATTCACCATAGTTTCAAATGCACAGACCCCACCACTAGAGTCCGAGGCTGTGTCATTATGGACCTCTGAGTCCATGCAAGAGTCGAGTCAAATTGTGGATTGTATACCATTGCATACCCAGTTCTTGAGGGATTGTTTGTTATCAATCCATAGGGATTTGTTTACCCATTCTGCTAGGACTGCTAGGATTCCCATGGCATGGGATGACCATACTCTCCGCAGCAATCAAACGTGGCGATGGACGAAGTCGCCCCAAGGTCAACCGAGTCCACAGCAAGAGACACATTACCCACCGGTCATCAAACATGGCTCGGAAATCCCCGGACGAAATGAAGGTTTAATGGGAAAATCATCGGTATATATAAAATGTGGGTTTTCCATTGCTATGTTTAGTTACTGGAAGGTACACCTTGCCAATATCCCCAGCAACACTGACTGTTCATGTCTCTGTACCTCAAGCCCATCCTTTAATTCAGACACAGTCGGTGATTCTGGTTGTTGGGTTTGTAGCTTTTCTTGATACAAGCAGGAGCCATTCCGCTACATATTCTATGCCCAGAAATGAATCCGCTTCCCTTAACTGGCACATAGAAAATTGACCACCAGAACACAAGGTGAAATGCAGTGGATCTATGAATTGTCGTCCAAAAAAAATGTTTAAGTTGGAGGCGGTGTTGAGTGTTAGTAAGGGGATCCCTTACTACCAATGATTTCAATGATATGACTATTTAACTGATGCACGCTGTATCCCTTAATTGCCTAGACGGCAAGCAGTCTGAAAATAGGCAAAAAAAAACCAAATCAACTGGTTTATCATAATTGTCCCTGTCAAAGCATAGTCAATTTTCAGATTTCAGACAAAGCCTTCTAAATGTAGTATCACCCGTTCATAGATGATAACGTCAAGGAGACTTGGACAAAAATATGATTTGCCCGGATCACACTGATCTGTAAACTGAAGTGCTGGCTTGAACCAGGTGGGTTTCCACGGGAAGTCCCTGGTTTCCGGCATTGTCCGATATCAATAGGTTATAGAATCATCGAAGGAAGTTTAGAAGTCAAACTTCCGACAATATGGACAGATGAAAAGCAGAGATGGGAAGAGTCAGCGAAGAGAAGAGAAGAAGAAAGAAGATCAAAAAAGAGAAAGTCTCAGAAGAAAGAAGATCCAGGTGCGCGAAAAGGTAGGAAAGTCGCGAAACATTGTGTTTTTCCAATGATTTGTGGCTCCGGTGGGTCGAAAAGTAGGCTCGCTAAAGCGGCGGGTGCGGAGCCCGCTGGGCAGATGAGAGAAAAAAAATTGCACGCCGTTGTGGCGCGAAGCACATTTGCCAGTGCAAAAGGTAAAAACACCTCACTTTCGGAGCACTTTTGGAAGTTGAGATGTCGAAAAAGTGCACGCCGTTGTGGCGCGAAGCACATTTTGAAGTCAAAATGCACAAAGCACACCAGGTCCGGACCACTTTTGGAAGTTGAGATGTCGAAAAAGTGTACGCCGGTGTGGCGCGAAGCACATTTCCAAGTCAAAAGTGCAAAAAACTGAGGCGTACGGAGCACTTTTGGACGTTCAGATGTCGTTTTGCGTGGCGGGATTGTGCACCTTGTCAAAAGTGAGCAAAATGTGAGGGTTTTGTAGCATTTCCAAAAACGATGGCAGGCGTGGGACATTTGAAGAGGGTCTGCAAAGATGCATTTTCCGTGGCAGGCGCAGTACAAGAGACATGTTCATCAGAGCTGTTAGGAGGTCCGGGCGCTGATTTCCTGAGAGGGAGTTGCATTTTGGAGCATCAGATCTTCAGGTTTGCTGAGATGATTTTGCATGACAGGTGAAGCACTTCGTATGACCCGGTATCACTTTTTCGTGGCAGGCGCAGTAGTTTAGACAGGTGGAGTCGAAAAATCGCAAAACGCATTGGTACAAGGCCGTCAGCTCTGCACTCAACTTTCCATTTTTGAAGGAAGTCTCGCAGAATTCTTTCGTTTTTGATGTTGTCAACTTCGAAAAATGAGGAAGTCTCGCAGAATTGCTTTGTTTTTGGACTTTGTCAAGTTTAAAAATTGAGGAAGTCTCGCTGAATTGCTGCGTTTTTGATGTTGTCAAGTTCAAAAACTGAGGAAGTCTCGAAGAATAGCTTCGTTTTGAAGCTTGCAGATAGACAGATAGATAGATAGATAGATAGGTGATAGATAGATAGATAGATAGATTGATCGATGATTGATTGATATGATTAGATATTGATTAGATTGATTAGATTAGATAGATAGATAGATAGATAGATAGATAGATAGATTAGATAGATAGATAGATAGATAGATTAGATAGATTAGATAGATTAGATAGATTAGATAGATTAGATAGATTGATAGGATAGATAGATTTAGATAGCTTAGATAGATTAGATAGATTAGATAGATTAGATAGATTAGATAGATTAGATAGATTAGATAGATTAGATAGATTAGATAGATTAGATAGATTAGATAGATTTAGATAGATTAGATAGATTAGATAGATTAGATAGATTAGATAGATAGATAGATTAGATAGATTAGATAGATAGATAGATAGATTAGATAGATTAGATAGATTAGATAGATTAGATAGATTAGATAGATTAGATAGATTAGATAGATTAGATAGATTAGATAGATAGATAGATAGATAGATTAGATAGATTAGATAGATTAGATAGATTAGATAGATTAGATAGATTAGATAGATTAGATAGATTAGATAGATTAGATAGATTAGATAGATTAGATAGATTAGATAGATTAGATAGATTAGATAGATTAGATAGATTAGATAGATTAGATAGATTAGATAGATTAGATAGATTAGATAGATAGATAGATAGATAGATAGATAGATAGATAGATAGATAGATAGATAGATAGATAGATAGATAGATAGATAGATAGATAGATAGATAGATAGATAGATAGATAGATAGATAGATAGATAGGGAAATAGATAGATAGATAGATTAAATAGATAGATAGATAGATAGATAGATTAGATAGATAGATAGATAGATAGATAGATAGATAGATAGATAGATAGATAGATAGATAGATAGATAGATTAGATAGATTAGATAGATAGATAGATAGGTTAGATAGATTAGATAGATTAGATAGATTAGATAGATTAGATATATTAGATATATTAGATAGATTAGATAGATTAGATAGATTAGATAGATTAGATAGATTAGATAGATTAGATGGTTTAGATGGTTTAGATGGATTAGATAGACTAGATCGATTAGATAGATTAGATAGATTAGATAGATTAGATAGATTAGATAGATTAGATAGATTAGATTAGATAGATTAGATAGATTAGATAGATTAGATAGATTAGATAGATTAGATAGATTAGATAGATAGATAGATAGGATAGATAGATAGATAGATAGATAAACAGATAGACAATTACAACTACAACAGCTACAACTACACTACACTACTGCTACAACTACAAATATACAACACTACATTACGCTACACTATTTGCACAACACTACACTAATTACATCTAGCTACACTACACTACACCACACTACACTACAACAACAACTACTACTACCACAACTACAACTACAGTTACAACTACACTACACTACACTAATTACACTGCAGCGCGCTACAACTACAAACACAACTACAACTACGCCCACACTACAGTACACAACACGACACTACACTACACTACTCTACGCTACACTGATTACAATGCATTTCGCTACAACTACAAGTAGAACTGCAACTACAACTACAACTACCACTACATTACACTACACTACACCACACTAATTACATTGCACTACACTACAGCTACAACTACAACTACAACTACACTAACTACTTACTACTTACTACTTACTACTTACTACTTATTACTTACTACTTACTACTTACTACTTACTACTTACTACTGAACTTACTACTGACTATTGACTACTTACTACTTACTACTTGCTACTTGCTACTTACTACTTACTACTTACTTCACTACAATACACTACGCTACACTTATACTTACTACTTACTACTTACTACTTACTACTTTCTACTTACTACTTACTACTTCTTACTTGCTACACTACATTACACTACACTACACTAATTACACTGCACTACTCTACACTACACTAATTACACTACATTACAGCTACCTCCACGACACTACACTACAGCTACAACTGCAATTACAACTGCAACTGCGCTACACCACACTACATCCAACAGTTGTGGTGAGGTGACCACTGCAACCATTGCAACCATTGCAACCACTCCCAAAAACACAACTCCAACCACCTGTCGGTCCATCAGTGGATTCGCTCTGGCATCCGTGAGTCACAACAACCAACTTCTCCTATAGGCTTCCTATTTTGAAACTTCCGCCACCGCCTTGTGCGGTACTACTGGTAGATAGTTAATGATAGTTATCAGCCAAGTTTTTTTCCAGATAAAAAGCCGACCTGCTTCGTTTCTGTTGGTAAAACTTTGTTCTTGATTCTACCCACCTATGGCATGTCCAAAGTCCTGGGGACTCCTGGTGTTCTTCCCACCCCCATCCCTAAATCTCTGGGCCGTTTCCCAGGAAAATCAAAGAAGGAAGAGCGCTGAACGCAGGAGTTCCAACAAGTCCCGGAAAAGCCGAAGGAGACGCGCTGCCGCGCTACGCTGGACATGTGACAAAGGAATGGCTGAAACTTTGCGGTTCCTACGATATAGGTGGATACCCTCCTAATCAAACGTTGCTAGCTGACAAGTTCTCAATAAATGGAGGTGTGAAAGAAGGGTCAGCATGGTACCATCCGAACCCCAGCGGCAGTTTGATTTCCATCCCCTCAACGCAACTTGAAAAAGGATTTCGGGACCAAACTAAGGAAATAATATGATAGATATATATATATAAGACTGGCAAGTGTTTTGTACAAGCTTTGTGGTACAAAGTAGTACTGGGAAGTACTTTGTGCATGTCTTGTAGTACAAAGTAGTACTGGGAAGTACTTTGTACAAGCTTTGAAGTACGAAGTAGTACTGTGACGTGCTTTGTGCAAGCTTGTAGTACCAAGTAGTACTGGGAAGTACAAAGTAGTACTGGGAAGTACTTTGCGCATTCTGTTGCCATTCTGTGCGTATAAGAGACTCTGTGTAAAGAGCTTCTCTGTGAAAATCTTCTGTCGGTAAAAGCTTCTGTGTCAAAGGTTCCCATGTGAAAAAGCTTTCTGTGAGCAAGAGCTTTTCTGTGTAAACGCATCTGTGTCTAAAAGCTTCTCTGTGCAGAAGAGCTTCTCTCTGACAGTAAAAGCTTTCTGACGTACAGAAGAGCCGAGATGAATTAAGAAGAGCTTCGATGAGATGAGAAGGGTTGAGCAGTGCTCAGATGAGATGAAAATCCCTGAGAAGAATTTAGATGACATCTGAGAAGAGATGAGATGCGAGGAGATGAGATGAGAAGAGCTGAGATGAGGTGAGATTTGGCGAGAAGAGCTCAGATGAGATGAGATGAGATGAAGCGTGGAGTGTGAAGTGCGAAGTGTGAAGTGGGGAGTGTGAAGAGTGCAGTGTGAAGGGTGACGTGTGATCTTTGGAAGACCAAGTGTCGCTTGGCATTGCATAGCAACGTGGTCGTGCCCAGCTCATGTTCTTGGACAACAACAGCGCAATAGGTTCGCACAAAGCACGCACGCAAGGGTCTGAGTGGCGCACGGCGCATGTCAGTTCTGTAATTAAAAATGCCTTGTAGTATAACCTTAAGGAAAATACATATATATATATTATATTTGTTTATATATAATTATATATATTATATTCTGTAGATTTGCATTTGCCATACTATATTAGATGACTCATGGTTGTTTTACTATTTCTAAGCTTTACTATATCCAGCATTATTGTAATTACACTATATACGTATCCTTTTTCATGTTTCTTTGAATTCTACTAGATGCCTCATACTATATTAGTTCTGTATTATTATACTGTTTTGTTCTATGCTATATCCAGTTTCATTCTCTCTCTCTCTATATATATGTATACTATCCTGTTATACTATATATAAATATTTATTGCTAGGCTATGCTATATTATTATACTATGTATACTTTGATATTTTACTATATAGTACTATGTGTATCATATATCTCCGCCAGGAGCAGTTTACAGGTGACCCCCTTAGCCTCGCAGCGAGTGCGCATGCGCTTGGGCTCCTCTGCCTATGCGGAGGTCTTGACGGCTGAGCTGCTTGGGGTAACCGGCTGGGGGGCTGGGTGGAAAAAAGAACAAAATCGATGGTTTTATAATGGAGAATCTTGTGAAAATGGATGATATGTGGTTGACTCCATGACTTAGGAAACCTCCAAATGGTGATTTTAACCATAGCATGTAGGATTTCTATTGATTTGTCCAGCTTTCTGGACTTTTATTCAGGAAGAAAATGATGATTGAAATCGGAGTTTGCCCAGTGTCTGTCAATTTTGTTTTTTTCATAGGGAAGATCATGATAGAACATATGGATTTGAGGGTAATTTGATTGTAGCTAACAACCATGTTTATAACTGATCTCTATATTGGAGAACTCCACGGAGGGGAAATTCACTTGGATTGCTAACCTGTTACTAAGTCGTTACTAAGTGGGATGTTCCTACAAGTGAGTAGCAAGGTTCAATCCCACTTTTCGCTAGCAAGACCTCGATTTTGGACTACCAGTAGTACCGCACAAGGCGGTGGCGGAAGTTTCAGAATAGGAAACCTATAGGAGACGTTGGTTGTTGTGAATCACGGATGGCAGAGCGAATCCACTGATTGACCGAAAGGTGGTTGGAGTTGTGTTTGCTGGAATGGTTGCAATGGTTGCAGTGGTCACCTCACCCACAACTGCTGGATGTAGTGTGATGTACTGCAACTGTAGTTGTAGCTGTAGCGTAGTGGAGTTGTAGTTGTGGTGTAATGTAATTAGTGTAGTGTAGTTGCAGTTATATAGTTGTAGCTGTAGTTGTTTTGTAGTTGTAGTTGTAGTTGTAGTTGTTGTAGTTGTAGTTGTAGTTGTAGTTGTGGTAGTAGTAGTTGTTGTTGTTGTAGTTGTAGCTGTAGTTGTTGTGTAGTTGTAGTTGTAGTTGTAGTTGTAGTTGTTGTAGTAGTAGTAGTAGTTGTTGTTGTTGTTGCTGTTGTTGTTGCTGTTGCTGTTGTCGTCGAAGTTAGGGTAGTTAAGTTAGTGAAGTAAGTTAAGTTAGTCAAGTTAGTTAAGTTAATCAGTGTCTACTTTTTCGACATCTTCACGTCAAAAAAGGCTCAAAACCCTCAGTTTTTTTACACTTTTGACTTCGAAATGTGCTTCGCGCCACAACGGCGTGCACTTTTTCGACACTTTTTCGACATCTGAACCTCCAAAAGTGGTCCGAACATGGTGTGTTTTGTACATTTTGACTTCCAAATGTGCTTCGCGCCACAACGGCGTGCACTTTTTCGACATCGCAACGTCCAAAAGTGGTCCGAACCCCTAGTGTTTTTAACATTTTGACTTGGAAATGTGCTTCGCGCCACAACGGCGTGCACTTTTTCGACATCGCAACTTCCAAAAGTGGTCCGCTCCTCTAGTGTTTTGTCCATTTTGACTTGGAAATGCGCTTCGCGCCACAACGGCGTGCACTTTTTCATGTCTCATCTGGCCAGCTGGCTCCGCACCCGCCGCTTTAGCGAGCCTACTTTTCGACCCTCCGGAGCCACAAATCATTGGAAAAACACAGTGAATCGCGACTTTCCTATCTTTTCGCGCATCTGCATCTTCTTTCTTCTGATCTTGTCTCTTCTGACTCGTCTCACCTCTGCTTTTCAACTGTCCATATTGTCGGAAGTTTCACTTCTAAACTTCCTTCGAACATAATTTCATACACTGGTCGGTGGTCTCATTTTCATCCTTGGCCCGAATGCTAAAAACTGGTCGCGATTTCACAATTCCATAATATTCCATACTTTCAGGGAGGTTGATGGTTCCAACCTTGAGACTTGGGGGGCCCAACAGGCCAACATATGTGCTGCACGGTCCAACCCAAGTCTGATCTTGAAACGCGTGTTTTGTTCCAAATCCCCATCTTTGCTGGGTGTATTTGATTTTATCCCGACTCTTGGCCAAAAACATTTAATGTTTGGTTGCCGGGGTCATATTTGAATCATCAATATCACCACAATGTTTCTTGATACGCATGGGATTGGTTTTCAAGATATATGCTAGTTGGTGGTTTCAAGCATTTTTTATTTTCCATAATATATGAGATAATCCTTCCCATTTACTTTCATATTTTTCAAGATGTTTAAAACCACCAACCAGTATGAATCCGGTTTCGCAAAAATCGCGGCTCTAAGGAGTTTGCACAACGCATTAGAAGAGCTTGGACTGAATTTCACCCAGGCCTCCGTCATGGCGTGGGCCTTTTTTTTTCCATGGATTTAACCAGATAGGGATTTAAGGGTGATTGATGTGATGTATTAATGTAATATATACCCTCTGGTTATTTAACATAGCTATGGAAAATCCCTTATAAATGGAGGTTTCTAGCTGGGAAAATCATCTATAAAGGGACCATTTTCCATAGCTATGTTAAATAACCAGAGGGTATATATATATATATGATTAATATGTATATGTGTGTGCAAACGTGTTAATATAGGTGAATGTGTATTTATATACGGATATATATGTATATATATCTACATAAAGTGTGGAATATATGGAGATGGATTAAACCGTATTAATTTCGAAACCGTGACACCGTGGGGAAATGAAGATTCATCAACTATGTGAACAGCCAGTGACTCGACCCATTGCGTATTTAGTATCCCCCAGCTGACCATTTTGGGAACATGATGGTGAACCAGTGGATTGATGGGGTACCCCTTGGGATCACTTATGATCACTTTTTTCGAGAACCTGGCCCTGGATTCCTGGATTTTGAAGATGGGGAACAAGTTAAATCCAGTTCATGCTGTCACTCAGCATAATGCATACTTGTTCTGAAGAAACCGTGCTTGGATGTTTCATAAGTCTCTCGCGAGCATGTAATCGCCAGCTGTTTTTTTTGTCACAGCCAACTCTCAGAAGACGCCCGGGAAAATGCAATGGTTGGGCCTTTGGGATATTGTCGAGACTATTTCTTGTTGAATGAGAAGAGGCTAAGCGGCCTTTGCCCACACTTGCTGGACAACAATTTGTGCTTCCGAACCACTTCCTCAAGCGCTTACCAGTGGATAATGGCAAAACTTGCAGAGTAAAAACCTCCATATTTGATGGGAAAAAACATGGTTGAAACACCGTGGATTTCAGTGGTGGCAAAGCAAGTTGAGCGCAGGAAGATATCAAGTTGCTGGTAAACCAGCTGGCGGACTACATCGACCTGAAATTCGTCAAGGACAGCTATTCACGGTGGGTTTAACGAAGGTAGTTAGTGGGACAATGGGTTTCGTCAGCTTTCCATGGGGTTTCGTGGGTACTTGGAGGGTCAATCCAGGCTAACTGTAACAGCAGAGGTCAATAGAGGAGAAGGGTAAACTATATAGTGACCTCATGTCGTGACCGAAGCCTGGAATCATGCTTAGTAAGGGGAATCATCCCCAAATGGCCTTGGTTCAGGTTAGTGAAATATTATAATTACCCAGATAGAGTTATGTCTTACCCTTCGGTACTCAAACGTGGCAATTGGAAACGCCTTTAAACAAATAGAGGTTTACAGCTGGGAAACTCATCCAACTGGTGGATTTTTCCAGCACACCATGGTTGATGAAACGCCGCTTTTCAAACAACCCCATCAAAGATGAACATTTGAAGCAAGTTGTTAATGCGCTTCATTCCTGCGAGACATGCGTATTTCTACACTGGGCAGGCTTGATTGGATTGTTTGATTGGATCCATGAAAACCCCTGAAATCCAATATATAGTCAGTTATATAATTATATGAATGGCCCATAAGTCAGGAATGATGGATGGCCATGGCCATGAATGTGGAAAGACCATCGGCGACCCCTCCACTTCACCAGGACCCGGAGCAGGATCAGACGGCCGGAATCGATGTGGACCGTGACCAAGCTGTCTGGGAATTTCCGGAGGTCAAGAACCCATCAGCACCGTGGCAGCGGTGAGGAACGGAAAAATGACGTGGAATAACGTGGACTCATGAAATCTGTTGAAGAATGTTGAAGAAATCACCTTTCAAAAAAAAAAAGAGGATTTTGGAGTTGTGGATTTTGAGTAATCCGGGCTGGATTACATATGCTGAAAACCTTGTTGTTTTTTGAACAGTGGTATTGTGATGTTGCTGGTGGTGCTTGTTTCAGTGGCCTTCCAGTTGCCCCTTCCTCGGTTGGTCCGCGCGCAGAGATGCACTACCGTACGTGTTTGTGCCGAATGGTGGCATATTGTAACCATATGTCCAATTCCATCAAGTATATACAGTATATATGTATTTATTACTAATGATGATTGACAATGTGTTGACAAACAATCCCTTGAGAACCGCAGATGAAACGGATCATATCAAATATATTTGGAACTATTTCAGGGCCAAGGCTGGACCTTTGTTGTTTGGCCAATGATTATTCATGATAATTCATTTGTAAGTTTTGGAAGTGCGAGCATTTCCTACATCAGCTGACAATCCGCTCATTCTTGCAGGAGACAATCTAGAAGAAAAAGCTACGTCGTCACCATCTTTTCAGAAAAGTTTGGCCATGATTCCAACATATCCCATAGGATCCATGGTGCTGCTATATATGGTAACATGGATCCCATCAATATACCCCCAATGTTAGCATATATATACCAGCACCATGGATCCTATGGGTATTCCAACCATTCCATTCCATCCTCCCTTTGCCAGGTCCGAAGGAGTTGGGCCATGGATTTCGAACCCAAACGAGACTGGATGCCAGGCTGCATGGCGCCCTTTTGTCGTCGATGGCCCAAAAAGGATTTTTTGGCGGTAAAATCATCCTGTTAATATTGTTACATGTAAGACAAACTGACAAAATGATACAAAATGCTATGTATATAGTATATATCTATGGCTTTCCCGTTTGGAAATCATCTAGAAATAACGGATTTGACCACATCGATCTTAGTCTACTGGAGGGTATAGACGTTTTTTTTCCGTACTAGAGTGACCCATAAAAGATCATTTGTTCTGCTCTTTTAGTAGGATCAAACACTTGTTATCATCTAACTCTGGAGGTGAAAAAGTCAATAACAAACCTCGGTTTGCTATGGTTATGGTAATTATAATTGCAAGATGGTGGCCTTGTGCCCTGTTTATTCTTGGGGTAATGTACCCCCATTTCCATCTATTTCCAATAATAAAGCCAGTTGGGCACTCGGTTTAGACACGCAACAACAAAATGGTAAAATTGGACGTGGTTTGTTGGATTTATACCACATCACATGGATATATTTCAAGGTACATTTGGCGAGTGTTTGGTTTTTGCTTTAATAAGGAAGTCTATAGGAAGCATTTTCCACCATCAAAGATTCAGATGTTTTGCGCATTTTTGCGCCATTCCCCGTTGTGAGTGCTTCAACCTTGGAGTTACTAGCCCATAATTCTCCAATATTGGACAATCAACACACAGGCTGGCCATAATACAGGATGCGCACCAGCTTACCCACACTTTCAAAACGGCTAAAAATGGGAAAATTGGTTGGGTCCAAACGCATTGACTTCGGACCTCGGATCTGAGAGGAATATGCATCGCAGTGAATCCCAATGGAATCACCATGTCACCCATGAAATCACCATGAATTTGGTTGGGATCCCAGATGTCCCGCAGGGGTCCCTTTTCGACATTTTGGCCCAGGAATGTTTGCCCCACCGATGCTTTGGTGAATCTGACGCTCGACCACTTTTTTTGGGGGTGCCTTTGTGGTGGTTTCCTAAGTCATGGTACTCCCAGTCATCCAGTCATGAACGACCATGCCTTAGTATTGGAACGCAATGGTGACGACTGGGGATCCGACATTTTAAAGAACCTACGTATGTTATGTATATTATATAGCATATGATAGCGCATCCCACAAGAACAGTATTTTGTCAGCATTTTAGTGGGATGTTTAGCTTCTATGTTTTTGAGGGTTATATATATATATATATACATACATAGTATCGTTGACTTTGAGTATCAACGATATATTCCGTGTATCTGTATATATATATATTATATATTATAGAATTACATAATATATATATATATACACATATTGTGCAAGCTTTAAAATATTAATATATAAGCTAAACAATTCCACTAAAATAGTGACGAAATACGTTTCTATTTTCTTGTGGGATGTGCTATTATATATATATATATGTAATTATATATGTACATGTATGTATATATGTTATGACTCAAGTTTGTTCACCGAATCATATGTAAAGGATTGTAAAGGTTTACCTGGTATACCTATACTTTTGTTTAACGAGATTTCTACTTTAAAATAAGACAACATCAAAATCTTCCCATGATACTTTCGAGGAGATACATCTAGTTTCTCAGAGTTATGCACCTTCCGTTCGGATAAAAAAAAGATAAAATGGTCGTTCTATCCTAATCCCAATGTCTACGTTTAACGTGTAATTATAATATATATATATATACATGTATAATAACATATATGATATATGTATGATATACACATAGAATCACTCACGTCACCATTCATGTTGAACATTCGTCTCCCCATTCGTCACCACGTCACCACTTTCAGCAGGTTGACGGATCCCGAAGTGCATCTCTCGAAGCGAATCTTCGGTCCGAAGACGCGGAAACAGTTCGACGCGCCTCGGCAGTCGACTGATGCTGTGAAAGGTGTGATAGGATATGATAGGTGTGATAGGATATGATGTTGGTGCTTGTGAAATGTTGTTTTTGACTAGGTAAGACTTGCATCTCAAGGTTTTTGTTGGGCTTGTAGATGCCAATATGAGTGTTTATGACGTGTTGTAGACCAAACTGGGGTGACGAACATGTGTATAGTTTAGCCCTCCACCTTGGGAATGGCCTGTCTCTGCAGTGGGTAGCCGGTGTGAAATATGGGAAATATATGGAAATATGGGAAACAGTTTTTGTCAAAGTGGTGAATATCCCTAAAACGCATATTGAAACAAGGGGCAAATGATAAACTGATACATGATAAACCATACGATGAAAAATGAAGACAAGGTTCTAGATTTTGAGACAACTGCTGCCACAAAATCACCTTGTGACCCCTTTAGATTTCGTTTCGTGAGAGCCGGACCTTAGGCCCGTGTTTTACAGTGAAGCATATATCATGTGTTGTAAGTGTTGTTCCCCGCTGTTCCTGTTCCTCCTTAAATTAACTATGGATGTGGAATCTAGACCATTTTAATGCATTTCATCTACTTAGGTGATTTGCCATCAATGTATAATTCCAATCACTACAGAAATCCATTATCATCTACTTTCTGGTTTTACCATGTTTTACCTATCAATCCATTGACTATCGCTACATGATCCGTACATCTAAATCAAAAAAGAGAACCAGGACGATCCATTCCCGTTATCCAGTTATCCATCATGATATCCCACGGTTATCCCAAACAAAAAGATGCACATTTTTACCCAGCAGGTTTCATTGATTTTCCCCAGGGCTTTGACTGGTTTTTCCAGTGTTTTTTTTGTATGTTTCTCCTAGGGATCCCCAGCCATGGGTGGAACATGTCCTGAAACTCACAGACGATCCGTGAGCATCTCCAACGATGGGATCCCAACGATTTGGTACACGAGATCACACAGGCGGCCTCATCGAAGGGTGATGTTTCGTCGTGGCAATAGGAACGATTTAATTCCCATGACGGATCCATTCACGGTGCTGCTATATATGGTAACATGATGTAACATGGATCCCATCAATATACCCCCAATGTTAGCAAATATACCAGCACCATGGATCCTATGGGATTGGATTTACTGGTTAGAAACTGCTTAGAAACTGCTTAGTAACTGGGGATAGTAGTCGTTTACTACGATCCCCAAGTGACGATCTGCAACCCTATGGATCCAGCCGTACCTTCTTAGGAAGTACGACTGAGGTATGATGACTAGGGGGCTAGCTGTACCTTCTCAGACAGTGTTTGGATCCATAGGGCAATAGTACACCATCCCCAATTGAAGATCTTACGGAAGTTTGAGAGTTATCCTGCCAGTAGGGCCTCAACAAGTCCCTTTCGGGGGGGTTGAAGGCCAAGAACTCCGTAGCATCGCAAGTGGTGAATAAGCCTAGTTAGAGAGTCCCCGATTCGTTTCGGTTATCCCATCTAGAAGTGGGGAAACTGACCCCATTCACTAACAGATCGTTTCTAAGTGGGATGATCCTCCAAGTAACCATCCCCAATTCGACCATAAATGGGTGGTATAAACCAGCAATCCGACTGAATTATAGTGACTGAATTACCTCACCGGAATGATTGTGGAATCATCCCCAAATGTCCAAAAATCTAGGTTTAGTGACAGTGAATCATTGGCTGCAAGATACCCTTGTTGGTTGATGATTAGTTGGGAGATTATTTACTATCCAGCATGTTGGGGATTATCACTATCCATGAACTGGGAATCCGGTTTTTAACCAACCAGTATGATAAAACGACAGAGGGTTTTGCGCAATGGTCCTGATCATTACGCATCATATATATATGTATGTATATAGAAATATATATGTATATGTAGACCTACTGGCTTGAGCTGTAATATCTAATTACTAACATCACATGTTTTTTTTAACACTTGGGTTATATTGACATATAGAAATACAGTAATATACTTCAACATTATCTACAGATCCAAGTGACTATGTGCCTGGCTGTGAAAACTAACAACAGCAAGGGTTCAAAGCTAGCCTTGCATTGGTGATGCACAAGTCACAGAGATTGAAGCCCAGCAAGCACTGTTGGGAACCCTTCATGAGTACATAACGTGGGCTCAAAACGTTAACTATATGAAACCGGAATGAACACTATAGTTTCACTCTGTTTCTGATTAAACATGCAGGAAAATATATTGTATGTGATCAGCGAAGATTAGGCTCTAATGTATGTGTATATAATTGAAAAACCATTTGCATTCAGAAATATCAAATATAGCTGGTTATAGCTGCATAGATACCCTCTAGTACTTCAACGTGGCAACGGGAATTCAACAAAACAAGTTACCATCAATTTAGTCCAAGAATTATATAACTGTGTTTTCAGTCCATTGGGACAGGCTTAGAAGAAAAACTGTTTTTTCAGTCCAAAAAAATCACACAGTAATCCAAGATTCTTCCCGTATATTCCCACAATTTCCCATTGGATTTTTCCAGCCGAATCTGGACAGCGAGGCGAAGGCTGCCAACCTGGACATCAGTGAAGCTCGGCGTGAACAAATGGTGTGTTTTGTTTTTTCTTGTGTAGAAATATCATGTAAATATATAAATAGGAACACCAAAAAGATAACGTAGGGTCGGGTAATAATTAACGTCAATGCAACTTGCCTTCAAGATGGGTGCTACGTTGGAGTTACGTTGGGTGGGGTGCGTTGGGGTGAGGTGGGGTAATAACGGAAAAAATAGCGCACCGAAATGTTCTTGCTGTTCATTCTTTAAACAAGCAACCCGGCTTGCAAAGTGTCTTGAAAGCAGTAGCTCGGTTTCGGCAGTTGGCAATGAAAAGTTGCCGCAGCCCTGTTTTGGTCTTCAAAGAGGCTCCGTGGGTATGTTGAGAAAAAACGTTGGCTCGCCTGGCTTGGTCTCTGGTGGTGTTTGAAAACTTGGCAAATACCTTGACATGGAGTCAAAATACTTGCGAAAACCATCGCAAACCCAATATTCCAAGCATTTCTGAATGTTATTTCCAAACACAGAAAATGTGTATCTCGTAATTCCAATAGGGAAAGGCAGATCACATAAAGATGAAATGCAATGATCGTATGTTATGTACTTCAACTTCAACGGATCAAACAAATGGTTCGTAACTGCCAACTTATTTATGCAACAAACAAAACATGAAAAATCGTCAGTTTCCCGCAGTAAAATGCCATGGTTTTTATCAACTTCACCCATGATGATCTGCCTCGCCTTGGCCAACCTACTCCCCCTACTTGTAGCGTATGTATATATTATATTAAATTATATTATATAGATATGTATAGAACTCCTCATTTATTTACCTGGTTAAACGAGTATATTATACCCAGTCCATCAGACATACACATGTTTACAGCGTATGCACCGCCCAGGTTTTTTCCCCAAGTCATAGCTGGTGGATGGTATTCATTTGATCCCCCCATTTGATATGGTTAGCCTAAGGTAAACTAACATAGCTATGGAAAATCACCATTTGTCATGGGTAAATCCACTATTTCTATGGCAATTTTCAATAGCTATGTTAGTTTATCAGAGGGTAGGTAACTTGACCCATCCCCTTTTTTGGTTACCCAAGGGGTACCCCTGACCTTGCCAAGGAAGGCTCCAACACATGGGGCTTGGATATGCCGCTTCGCCGATTCCTGCAAGCTAAGGATCAACAAAAACGATGTTTTACCGGCAAAAATGGAGGTGAAATTTAGAATATATGTATATATATAGATTTTATAGGGAGATGTGGTGTTTTGTTCTGTTGATACCGTTGTAAACCCCATTGAACTATGTTTTGGCAAACTGTGGCTGACTTGATTTTACGTTTGATTGCATATGAACATCGATTCGGTATATCTTTGGTGAAGGCATGGAAACAACCTAATCAGCGTCAACGTTGGAAAGCGATCACCATCTCCAACATTTTCACCGTGTATCTCACTGACTCATTGATTCCTACCTGGGGGGTGAAATTTGGGTCATAAATCCAGCACCGAATGGGTTTTATATGTCACCGCTATAAGTTAGATCCATTTGAATCCCAACTCAGGGGCGCATTACCATAGTTGCCCACCCACCATGACTGCATACGCCCTCTCACGTTGAATGATGCTAGTTATGCCCAGGGAATGTTAGGCTAACCGAAGTGCTAACGTTTTCTTCCGATCCATTTGTATCCATCATGTGTATCCATCATGTTGTTTTTTTCCAAAAGCAAAACACATAAAACATCATAAAACACTTGTAAACTCACAGGCCAACGACATGAGAAGTAGATTGCCAACTTACCTTTGCGCTTTGTTAAAAAAGAACGCTCATTCACTGGGATGTGGTTGATGCTCAAATTACTAAGTTACCATTTTGTTTGGTAAAATCACCTCACACTATTTATTTGTATACGCATAGTACATACATCAATAACAAATCCAACAGGTCCCGGGATCATGTCCAATGCCATTTGAAGAAGGTTTGTGAAAGAATTTCTTCATCGGAGGTAGTGGAGCGATTTAGGGTATGTTAAAAAACCTTTGTTCAAATCACATGAGTACATAAACTGTATAAATATATATATATATATGATATATATATACATACATACATACCTACATACATACATACATACATACATACATACATACATAGATACATACATAGATACATAGATACATAGATACATAGATACTTAGATACATAGATAGATACATGCATGCATGCATGCATGCATGCATATATATATATGTATACACAATATGTATACATGTACCCGACTGTATCCCCATCGCATCATATTTTTTATTTCCCTGTGTGTCGGCATTTTACCGGTAAATCATCATCTTGATAGTTATTCCCAGCTAAATCCATTAAATCCCTCTTGAATTGATTGTTCGATCCCCTTAAAGACCACATTTGTGGTGGTCAAATTCATTTTTTCTGGGCGGTGAAAATCAACATTTTCAATGTTAAATCCTTATGTTTTCAGGGTGAATTCACACATGTTAATGGCTATATCCCACTTGTATCCCATTAAATCCCTATGTTTTTGAAGGCTAACTCCTATAAAAACCATTGTTTTTGATGCATAATCTTACTGTTTTTGGATGGTTAACTCCTATAAAAGCACAGTTTTTGATGATGTAATGCCGTGAGATCGCTACTTTTGGATTAAATCCCAT